TATATATATATATATATATACATAACTGTAATATAAAAAAAATGCATGACACTATAAATGTTGTGAAAATTTAACTATAAAAAGAAAACATAAAACATCATTGCATATAAAATAATTTCAACAAACAACAGTACATCACGAAAAACCTTGATGAAATTATCTTGAAATAATAACAACGCCAAATGTCTTCTCCTTCGAATATTTTCCGATAGAATAATGAAAAATATTTTTTTCGAGTGGTAGTCCGTTCGTCTCACCTACTTCAAAATCAAATTGCGTTCATAATAACAAAATAAAATTAGATGAATCTAAAATTAATTGAACAGATGGACTACGCTAGAGTATATTACATTTCCGTTTACCAGTATTTAACTCATGAAAGATTAGCATTTACTCACATAATAAGTAAGAAAAAAAATCAAATCAACAAAACATTTTTCATAGCTAAGTATATCACAATCAAAAAGAAGAACACTTGAAATTTTTAGAATTTCCTTGACCAACATCATTAATCGTGCTAAAAGTAAACAAAAATATATATATAGACATATTTTGTTTTCGCTGGTCAGTGGCACTTCTGAAAACTCCAACTTTTTTTAAAACAGTATAGTGGTTTTATTTAGTCCTTTTCTTTTCCTTTTGGAAAGATTTGTAAACTTTCCAGGAATTCATAAAATTTCACCAAAAACATATTGCAAATTTTTAAAATTGAACAGTTTAGTAAAGATCGGATCGTGTCAAAGAATGGAAAATTTGGTTGACATCGGTTTGTTGTTGTATGCAATGAAAGTGTTAATACATAATTGCACTTAGAGAATATTTTCTACTACATTTAAATGAAATGATTAAATTGAGTTCTGAATACACTTACGCTATCAGTTCAGTAAAAATAAACCACATTTTATTATTAGTCTCACTATGCTGTTTTAATTAAAGTGGCCTTGTACATTTCGTTTGACACTTTTCAATTGCAAAACAATTGAATTCTTGCAAAAATAATAATAACAAATTATTTCACAATCAACCAAGATCAGATGAAAAACTTGTTATAAAACAAAATGACACGTAGTTCAATTTTATAAATAATAAGTATGCAAATTGAATATCCTGAAACTTTGGTTTATGATTTCAAGATTTTGATTTTATGAAGCAAAAAATTCCCCATTGAAGATTTTTAGTTAAAAATTTTGACAAAAAAAACTGTCTGCAGCTTTCTTTATCATGAGTTTTGGTTTCCCAACTTGCGAATAATTCTCAGGATAATGTAAATCTACGTGAATATGTCTTTTTGGGATTTTCCTTTTCTTTATAACTAACATACTCCAAACAAACAAATCAACTCTCTCCATTTGACTTCAGACACCTTACCTTGAATTGATTTGTCTCTTTGAGGTAAGACCTTTCTATCATTCCTGATTACTTTAAAAATATGACAACATTAACACTAATTTAATGACCAATTTACTAACAAACAATTTATTTGATATTTCTGTTTAGAAGTGTTTTTACTTGTATCAATTTATACTGAACTTATTTTTAGGATGTAATTAACAAATAACAGTGAAAATTAAATTAGTGCATAAAATAATTCTGTGTCTCTTTGTAACAGCTTCCTTATAAAATAGTAAAAATACCTGTAGCTGAAAATAACTAAATGAAAATGTATTAAAAGACATTTTTCTTTTTTTTTATTCTTCTGTGCTTGGCAATTTCTTATGGACTAAAAGAAAGTAAATCTGGTCGTAACGGTGGTTGATTATGACAGGATTGGAACATCAGAACCAATTGGGAAGGTCGTTTTGGGATACAATGCGTCTGGCACAGAGTTAAGACACTGGTCAGATATGTTGGCATCCCCGAGGAGACCTATTGCTCAATGGCACACACTGAAAGATCCTGAAGAAGAGATGCCTGGAGACAAAAAATAAACTGATGATAACATTGACTAAATATCTTGTTATCGCCAAACAATTGTCACTTTGTGTTTGTTGCTTGTAATAATTACATGTTCAGTTACAAATGAGCATTTCTACTTTCCTTCAATTTATTAAAAAATGAAAATCCTTTGTCATAAACAAATTAATAATTACTGCAAAGCAAATTAAAATAATTGACTATTTCCCACTTTTGAAAATATCTCATTATTTATGAACTTTATAGCATAAAAGTTTTAAGAAAAATATCAATAATTCAGAGTGAATACTTAACTTTAAACTAAATACAAAAAAAAAATACGAAGTTTAAATTTGTAAGTTGTTATTTAAGAAAGAGATTTTGCTAAGCTTTATTTATAGCTTCTCATTGTCTCTCAATTCCTTGACTCTGAAAAATAGTCTCTACTCAAATCTATAAGATTCAAATGAGTCTGATGTTAGTTCTTGATCCATTTCGAAATTTACTGTTACACCTTGCTTAAAGATTTAAAATTTCAAAAACGTCGAGTTAAGATAAAACGATTTAGCTTCAGGAGCATTATGGAGAAATTTGTAATGCAAAGCTTTGGTACTCCCATCATCCAGCATTATGCTCATCAATTTTTTTTGCAGTAAAATTTCGTGTCACTATTATCCCTAAAATTTGCATCAAGAATCGAATAAAAGTCATTTACAAAAATAACAATAGCAAAATTGTATGATAAAACCCGTAAATGAAAGCGATCCCAAGTTTAAAATTTATGAAGTAAAGGATAAAAAGATAAAATTAAAATTATACTCGCTGTTATGATGTAGATGATTATAATCGTATAATCTTTAAGTAGTTGAACAAAGTTTCAGATTCCGCTTATAATAACTTTTAGTTTTCAACGCGAATGGATCATTAGAATCATTTTATTTTCGTAATTTTTATCTCCATACATAATCTTAAACATAATAATTTACGTAATAAATTTGATTGAAAAACGTTTCTTTTCACAATATTTAATAAGTCAACGATTATCCGAAAATTACATTGAAATCCAACTTTAAGATAAATTATTGACAAATAGGTATACCTATTTCTAGGTTTGATTTTATGATATGGGGAAGGTAATAGCGAAATATAATTGATATGTTATATATTGGACGTATTATTCTTGAATTTGAATGATCGATTTGTTTTATCTGATGAAATATTTTATCGCACGTTGTTGAACCATTAAGGTGAAAAAATAATAAGATGACATTTCTTAAGATAATAAGATTACATGTAACTTTGCCGAGGACAGGCATATTTTCACACACATTTTTTTCTATTAAGTAACGTTTCTAAGCAATTTGATAATTTACTTTTTTTAATTTTTTAATAAGCGCTGAAGAGTCATAGATTAACTGAATCTATGGACGTTATCGCGTTGAAAATCACGCATGTTGGAAACATTTTTAAAACGATTTAATTTCTATAATCACGCTTCTTCATGAAATTTAGGATTTTTTTTTTCAAATGATCATTTCAAAAATACCTAGGTAATTTGAAAAAGGACAAACACCCAAAAATACCTACCTATGTTGTTATAAAATAAAATTGAAATTGAAGAACTAAGGCTTTTCAAAATTTAATAATATATTCATCTCATCAAAATCATATAAATTAATAAATTAAAAAGGAAAGCCAGAAAATAATCAACTTATAAGTATAATGTTGTAATAAATACTATAAATATTTACAAATCCAAGTATATTCTAATAGAAACACGACTATAACCTTTAAAGTTAATGATCTTATTGATGAAATTAAAAAAGAAAAACATGAGATATCGATAATAGAATTGAAACAATTTATGATGGGTTTCAAATCACTGTATAATAAATAACAAAAAATATTGAGTTAAAAAGCTTATAAAAGGCAAACATGATAACATGTATGGATGATCGAAATATTATTTATTAAATATATCAGCAAACTAAGAAAATTGATAATGTGAAACATACATATTTAAAGATAGATAGTTTTTAGTTACATTTTAAGATTGTTTATTTATTAAATGTTAATCAACAAAAATAGTCTTCTCAGTTTTTTTACATTTCAGGTGAATTAAAACTTTTTATTTAGATATACCTACTTAATATTCTCTAAGATGAATATCTAAAAAATTTTAATGAAAAGTTTTTATGACATATGTATACAACCACTAATCATAATATCGTTTCAACATTGCACGGTATTTTTTCAAAGCATATAAACTCTCGATTTCTTTAACGACATATTCACCTAAAAAGATAACCAAATAGGTATTTATTTTTTATATGAAATATTCAATGAAGAATCTTCTAATCGTTTTAAACCTTTAGCAATCATTTCTGCAATCTTTTCTGGCGATGTTTCCTTTGAGTTATTTTTAAAAGTCTTTTTGCATGTGACTCGAAACTTTTCAGGGCTTACAGGATATTCGCGTCCAAGATACTGAAGTGTTTTATATAATTGTATGACTCGTGAACGTTGTGACATAATTAATATATTGAAAATATCTACTCAATCCAGACTCGAACATTGATGTTTTTAATTGTAGTTTCTAGACCAAACGTAAGTTAGCGCTACTGTTGCGGCAATTTCGGCGAATTCTGAAATATTAAAAGAAAATTAAAATTGAAGCTTTAAAAATATTTAAAGAAGAATAAATAATTTTCTGATGGAGAAAGTTAGTAATACAAACAACAACTGTCGTTTTTGCTTGCGAATATTCGATGAGTTAGAAGAACGGATAGGTATAACTTCGCAAATTTCTGATGAATTTCGGAATATCACTCAAACTGAGGTGAGAATCAAACTAAAATCCTTACGATGACATTATTTTTTATAATTATTTCCTTGCATATCATATCTTGAACCTTTAATTATACTTACTTTAGAGTTATTTTCTTATTCATTCCATTTTCATGATATTTTTTATTGTGCTTATAGGAATATTAAGTGCATAGATTTTGCTTTTAGAAAAATTTTCGTCTGAAGTTCAGATCCAGGAAGTTCCCTTCTTGATACTAATAAAACTGTTTATTTTATATTGCAGCTTCGGATGCAACCAATATATTCCAACAACATTTGTTTAAAATGTTTCGACAATGTTAAAAGCTTTTGTCAATTTCGAAAAGAGCTTCTTAACAATCAAACAATTCTTTATCAAGTTTTCAGTTCTGAAGAAGATCGACTATTGCGTGATAATCGAGAAGAGAATTTCATTGATATCTCGCAGGCTGTCAAAATCAAACTGGAAGTCACTGAAAACGATTCCTACAACTCGAATATACATTTTGAGTCAGAAGCAACTATGGAAGGTGATGGTGGAGATCATCTTCCTTATTTTAAAATGGAAAGTAATACCACAGACATGGGAATTTATAGTGAGTATTCTTGTTACATGTTTACATATTTTTGTAATATTACTTTTCATATTTCTTCTAAAGGTGCTTGGAGTCCTTTTGCAGACATCAGTTCTACCATGACTACAACTCCACATGTGAAAGCTATTGTAAAGCGTAAACCTCGTAATCCTCTAGCCGATAATCCAAGAGAGAAACAGTAATATCTATGTCTTGTTTTCTTATCCTTTTAATTACTCTTAAATTCTTGATTGAACAGAAAACTTTGTTCCGAATGTGGCAAATCATTTCTAGCATCTTATTTGCGGCGGCATTATCAGAGAGTTCATTTGAAAGAAAAAAGATTTGAATGTGACATTTGTGGTTTAAGAACTTTTAAAAAACAACATATTGAAGAGCATTTAAAACGACACTTTAAAATTAAGGACTATCATTGTGATCAATGTCCATCAGCTTTCACAACTGGAACCGAGTTAAAGATCCATATTAAGAATGTTCACTGTGAAGATCGACCATTCAAGTGTGAGCATAAAGGATGCGAATCTGCTTTCAAACAAAAAGAAAATTTGAAAGAGCACATGCTAAGGCATACTCAAAAGAAAAACTTTGTTTGCGTTGTTTGCGATAAAGGTATATTTAATTTATTTCTTGGAATTATTTTGAATACGAATTATTGATGTCCAATACACTCTATTTATAGCATTTTATAACAATTCGAGCTTAAAAGCACATCAGATTATTCACACTGGAAATCCTCATATCCCTTGTCATGCATGTGGTAAACTTTTCTTCTCAAAGCAAGCTCTTAAACTCCATCATTTACATCATCATCAAGCACCAACATTAAAGTGTGAACAATGCGATAAGATGTGAGTTATCATTGTTTAATACTTATATGATTCTTAGAAGTTAATTTTTTTTTGTTTGTTTCAGGTATTTCACGCAATCAGAGTTAAATCATCACATGAACTCTCATTCAAACATTAAGAAATACCAATGTCAATATTGCAGTAACCAATATATGGCTAAAAACCATTTAAATCGTCACATTTCAACAGTGCATATGAAAGCAAAAATTCGTTGCCAAGTTATAGGGTGTACATCAGATTTTCCCCGAAAAGACCGATATCGTGCACACATCCTTTCACACCATCAAAACTTAGGACCCGACTTTGTAAACCAGCTGCTTAACGGGATAAAAGATGTTCCCATAGAGTTCTCCAACAATAATTTTCAGTTGGCTTAAAGTTAAATGGAAAGCACAGGAAATATAAAGACGGAAAGCTTATTTCTGGATTTATTTTCTTTGATTATTAACTATTTCATTTAAAATCATTAGTTTCCATGTAGATTCATTTTGAAAATCAGTTTTTTCCATAATAATAATTCATCTCATAAAATTTGAAATTAAGAAGAAAATCTTTCTTTAGTAGATATATTGTATCGTGTAGAGTTAAAATATTTTTTTGTGTATTAAAGAACAGTGAACATCAAAATATTCATAATAAAAAAAAGAATATTCATATACATAGTTTTTAAACAATATTAGTTCAGAATTCAACAAGGATTCAAAGCAAGTGGAAATATAACTGGTGAATTGCACCGCACGTCTTTGTTCTAAAAACTATTAAACCATATTATAAAATTAATAAAAATTCACATGGCAGATAATAAAAAATATTTGGAAGAAAGTAAACATAGAAATAATGGGCTTTGGTATATATGTAAATACCTAGGTATCTACTCAGCATGTATACATGTTTCTTTATGTAACATCCTCTTTTTGATTGTGTTGTTTCAAATGTGCAGAGCTTCGAATATTTCCGACCAGATGTCGTTGCATTAAGCATCAAACGATGCATTAAAATAATTTCCTTCTTTTTTTTTTAAACAGAGAGCTATTAAGAATAAATTTAATTATTTAAGGAGTATAATTTATAATATAGTTCTAAATAGGTGAAGCATTTGGTGTCAAGTAATATTTTTTCCACATTTTTCTTAAGTTTAAAGTGTATAATATACGTCTATATGAAATGAACACAATAATTTTATCATTACTTTTGATAACTAGTGAGTTTGTTTTAATTTCAGAGTGTTTTTTAAACTTTTGATTATCTAAACTAGCTGTTTCTTTCATTGTAGCTCTATCAACAACTCATGCTGGCGTTGGGGGACGATTTGGATCTAATACAGCTCAAAAAACATATATTCGAGAATCTTCAAACTTTAGAAGTCCTTACGCACTTACAGGTTTAGGAAATGAATATGAGCGTTTTAATTCAGTTACAAAGTATAAAGAAAATTCTGTTAAAACAAAATCTGCAAGAAACATATCAACGCTTCAAATTATATTTGTATTAACACTCATAATGAGCCTTGGATTTGCCGGATACTACTTTATTCAGTTTTACCCTTTCATTTGCTCAAAAGAATCGAAATATGATGTTATGAGTCGCTCGTCCGTTACGCCCACACATTCCAGAGAATTTGAATATGAATCGGCTTCTTCAGTAACCAAATCTACCAATGCGTCTTATAGTAATGAGCATGATGTATGAAAATTTAATTTGGAGACTTGAAGCATTTGGAACCGAGTTTCTAAACTTCACTGATAATATGCCTACCTATTTCGTTACTAACAAAAACGGCGTCTTTAGCTTGTATGATACATCATTTATAGTGAAGGAACTCAACAATCTATAGTGAGAATTTTCATAAAATTTATAAGGCTTATTAAGAGTTCTTAAGATTATTCTTAATAAATATTTCTCGATTACTTAGATATTTACTTCGTGTTAAAAATAAAGTAAAATATGACAATCATCTAGGATATAAGAAGTGAAGAATTAAATTATGTGTAATAATTTTTATACAAAATTATATAAGTAATTTGAGAAGAAATTTTTACTCATTAAAATATATTTCTTGAATATCATTTTATTTAATGAGTTAAAATTTCATTTCATTTATTTATGTAACTAAATTTAGTTTAAAATTTCATGAAATAAAACTAATATTTTTTTAATTGGTTAATTTTATTTAACCCTAATGGAATTCAATCGACGTCTAATTTTTGTTACTTATAAGAGAAGAAAAAAATACGATTGTAAAAATACAGACTTAAGATAATGATGCAGCATTGTTTTCAATTCAAAGGAATTCTTTAAAACTAAAGTTCGTCTTTGTCGTCGAGAACTACATCAGATAAATCAATATCTTCTTCTACGATTGGTTCAGCATCTTTACCATCCCACTTTTTGAGTTTATGAATTTTCGGTAAATCAGTTCCCTTGAGGGGAAGAATAGAACCTCTTCCGTATGCCAAATCACGCAAGAATTCATTGATGCCTTCTTTAGAGAAAGAACCCCTTAGTAATGAGAATTTGCTTTTTTTAATATTAACAGCAGCTAAAGCAGGGTAACCGAATCCACCGATATCAAGTGCTTCCTCAACAGCCAGTTGTGAACCAGCCTCTGCCCACAGCCAACCCCACATCTTCTGCTTATATTTAGTTGCCATTTCTTTAAGGATATTTAAAAAGCTATTGCGGCATTCGGATTTGCAGTCGTAAATATTTGGTAAGATAGCGACCACACAGAGTGGTAAACTTTCACATGTTGACTTTGCGACTTCTTCTGAGATCAATTCATTGACATCTGGAGCGGGAATATTTACAACATACTTTTCATTTGCCCATGTTACTATATCAGATGCTGTTCGACCACCATCATAGTCTTGAACTGAAGATGAGTCTTTTTTGCCACCAGGGAAGAATTTAATTGTTGGATAACCTTGCACTTGATATTTTGAGGCGATAGATGTATGTATTGTTGCATCTAGTGCCCCTAGTTTAACTTTTCCTTTAAGTTCAGAAGCGGCTTTTGCCCATTCAGGTGCAAGATTTTTGCAGTGCCCACCTTGAAGTTTTTGAAAAAATTTATTTAAGTATTAGGTATTTCATTTTTGCAAAATAAAAAAAAAACATATAGATGAGCACTTACACCATGGTGCAAAAAGTTCAACAAGCCAAACGTCATCCGATTGCATCACCAATTTATCAAAATTAAAATCTGTTAATTCAATGACATCATCACCGGAACTTTTACTCTTTCCATTTGATGATGAGCTTCCTTCGAGTTGTGCTTTCACTTTTTTCTTAACTTGTGCTAATCCTGCTTCAGCCATAGCTTTGGCAGTTCTTTCTCCATTATAGGGGCTATGATCTTTACCAATAAATATTTTAATTGAAGGAAAGCCACTTACTCCGAATTTTCCGGCCAAATCTTTATGGTCGTCGCAGTCAACGGATCCAACCTTAACTACACCTTTAAGTGCTCTTGCAAGTTTTTTGTATTCAGGTACAAGATTTTTGCAGTGGCCACCTACAAATTAAGTGCTAAAAATTAAATCAATGACATCACGATAACGAAAACAACACATACACCACGGTGCGAAAAATTCGACAATCCAAACATTATCACTTGAAGTCACAAGCTTATCAAAGTTTGCTGATGTTAACTGAACGACATCGTCATTTGAATCATAAAGAGCTAAAGTGAAATTAATCAGAAGAAAAACGCCTATAAAGGAATAAAATAAATGATCTTAGGTTTTCGCCAAAAGCTGTTGTGAATTTACCGAAAATCTTTGAATATAGCATTACTAGACAGGATCAATATGAAATATTGTTTAACTTTAATTCTTGACTTTTTGAAATTGAATAAGAAATGACACGAAATCAAAGTTTTTATCTTGCTTTATAAGAAAAAAAAAGCTACACGAAATGTTGTATGATTGGTTGATTTTTATGGAGGCTTTACCTATGTAAGAAAAATTGAACTTTGTAATAATACTTGATATCGTGCATACATTATGCAAGCAAATGTATTCTATGTAAATTATTATATTCGAAGTTAAAGTTGAGTTGATTGTTACTATTAATTTAAAAGTTATTTAAATTTCTTCAAATTAAATTAATGATATGTGCAAAACGGTTTTATTAGGTTAACTCACTATGATTCGTAAAGGGAATACCATGGTACAAATATGTTACTTATGTACTTATGTGAATAAAATTTTTCAAAAAATAGGTAACTTTCGAAATAATATCTATAACTTTTGAAATAGGTATGTAGGCAAATGATTTGATAACATTAGAAGAATCTATTTATTTACCTACATACTTGTAATATACTGCCTGACACAACCTAATACAGACTTGAATTAAAAAGTTTTATTTAAAATGAAAAACGGTAAAAAATTCATTGTTAGTTTAATATGCATTGCATTGCTTTACATTTTTCTCTGATTCTTTTGCGTTCTTCAAAATGCTATTAGAAACTAAAAGTCCTGTGTGGAAAATCATACATTCCCTGTAAACAAATCCAATTATTGGTTTACGTTTACTGTCATTCCTTGAAATATCGAAATCTTTGCACACTTCACTTTCGCTTATACAGTTGACTGTTCCAAAGGGATATTTATATCTAAGCATTTGTGCAAGTTTTAACATTTCGGGAAAAGCATTTATGGAAGTGTATGAATTAGCAGAATAAAATTTTATCACCCACATATCATTTGAGCTAATAACTTTCTCTTCAAAATTGTTTTTGGTCAGTATTGTGATATATGGGACATTTTTATAAAGTTGATGTCCGTTAACTTCAAATAAAATAATGAGTGCTAAAATAACTGAAAATGTATCAAATGAGAAGTAAAGAAATTTTTTTATAACTCTCAGTATATTTAATGCCTACCGCTTTCCGTCAACATTATTAACTAAGTGTCGTTGCTTTATAACGTGGAGCCTCTAGAACTTTTAAGTTAAACTAATATTTCTGCGAAATTATTCAGTTTCGTAAAAGTCGAGAATTCTGATAAAATTATACAAAAATAGAACATTTTTAATAAACTTGTTGAGATGTTTTCATGCTTATCAACACAATGATGAATATATTTATGAAAAAAAATTAAATAGAGTTATGTACAGTTCGTTCTTAAACATTATGATGTGATGCTATTTGAAAGAAAGCAAATTAAAATAAAAAAAGTAAGATTATTTATTTACTGGCAACAGCAACCATAAGCTTGTAAGGTGTAATAACAGTTTTGCAAAAAGTATTTTCATTAAACTGAATTAAATTCAATTTATCAACTTCAACTATATAGTCGTCGAGAAAATCATTTTGAAGATTCTCTGACATTCTCGATGAGAAAGGGTTTACTGCTTTCACTGAGTCTGAAAATACAGATAAAAAATTGAGATGCTATGCACAAAAGAAATATCTAAATACTTGATCATATTTACGTTTCAAAAGCTCAATGTCATCAAAAATAAAAACTTGATCCCTAATATCAATGTGGATGATATTGAATCCAACATCGTAAAGCTTTTTACTGAATACCTCTAAAGGTTCCTTTTCAAAATGGTAAGGACTTACGAATTGCTTCACGTCGTTCATGTAAGTTGCATATTTCTTCATACGGGACAGATTCAAATATATGTCGAATATGGGATTTGAAACGAGAAAAGCTAACAAGCAAGTTCCATTTGGTTTTAATAATTTGTAGATATTTGAGATGGCTTGTCTGTATGCGGAATGAGTAACATGAATAATGAGAGAATAGAAATTTCGGTAATTATCATTCTGAAAATCATTTCTTCATAATTTCTTAACGTTAAAGAATATATTTAATTTAATTTTAAAAAAATATGATACTTGATTATGAATATCTAAATAGAATTTGTTTTTTTTTGTAAGTATTTTTCACCTTTGGTTTTGTACCCAATGTAAACAATAAAATGATGTTATGATATCAAAAGTTTCAGTACATAACTCTTGCTGGTTTTGGTTGAGACCTTTAATAGTTTTCTTTATAACAAAATCACTTTCTATGTCAACATTGAGGAATTTTATAAAACTTTTGTGGTACTTTTCACTCGCATATTTCACCATCTTCTTCGAAATGTCAATTCCGGTAACCTTAAGGCTTTTGTTGTTAATTTTGGGTAAAATTATTTCTACTAAAACGTTACCAGCTCCACAACCAACATCAAGTAGTTCTGACTTTGCATTTCCCTCAAATATGTTAGAAAACTCTTTCATGATTTCATCAGCATCACGTTTTTGTAACGTATTCGTTTTGTTATATAATGTTGCGTTGTTCATTTTTATGTCCCTTTCAACTAAATTCAAGAAAAATTTCTATCTCAAACTCAACTGATTCACAAACAAAACTAGACTGGACTGTTACTTACTATTCAACGCGTTTAAATACGTTGTTTATTCGATGTTATTTTGTAACAAGAACAATAAACAATTGGTTTATTTTCAGTAGAAATGTTTTTTGAACAAAAGATATTTTAAGTTGACTCCGTTCACTATTTTTATCTCAAAAATGGAAATTTCATTGCAAAGAAATACCTAATAGATTTAGAATAACGTCATGTCGCTTTTTGATTTTCATATTATTCCTAATGGTTTCCCTCAGAAATAGTCTTCAATGTGTTGAGTTACATCTAATAAATTATTTACTAACCATTTATAAGTAGGAGTAGATAACAAATTATTAACAATAATTGTGTAATAGTTTTTATTATTTATTATTTTATTGTATCGTAGATTTTCCTGAACTAAATGCAGTTCGAAACTAGATAGTCGAACACTGAAACAAAATTTTAAAAAAGTTTTAATAGCCAAAAATAAAAACACCTACCTATATATTGAACAAAACATCAAATGCACCAAAACTTTCCTAATATATTAACAATTAGTTTTCTTTGTATCTTAATTACAATGAATACAATTATTTAATTGGGAAAACATTCTTTTTGTATATTTTACTTTTACTTTTTCAATCTGTTCAGATATTGAAATTATGAAGAAATCGAAATTTTTTCGATTTATAATATCCATACTTAGTATATAAAAGAATAATTCATTATCTACATAAAAAAGCAAAAGATAGTAATTTAAATATCAAAGTGAACAAAAATAAAATACTTCAATGGTTTTTCTCCGAAAGTAACTGGGTGCTTGTGCAAAATATTCTTTTATTACTGCGCTATATCTCGTCTCAATCGTTTCATTTGCATATTAATTGCAGCTTTTTGGATTTTTCATTACAACGTGAACCCTTTTTTTTTTTGCTTTGTAACCTTCATGAGCCTTTTCATCATTCATCGTGCGACTTTAGCTTCGCATCTTCAATGGAGAGAGTCATCATCAAAATGCGAGAAAATATGCGTGTTATGAAATAAATTTGAATAAATCAAACATAACATTCAATGGGAAAAATTCATATTGGCAAATATTTTAACGTATCGGAAGTACAAAAAAAAGAATATCAACAGCAGAGTGTCACGGTTAGGTCAAGGGTGAGAAAAAGTGTTGAATTGGTTCGTACACGATGATGTGGCGAAATAAACATATTGTATTTAATTTTAAAACATTTACGTCAAATTTTGTATGGATAATGACAATGTAAAAAGTTTTAGTTCAACAATAATTTCCTCTCTCAAAATTGAATTTCCAATTTCCGCTTTTGACGTTTGAAAAGATTACGAATTTGCTACTAAAATAGCTTTTTACTCGATTTGTTGACATTCACGATTAAAATAAATGTTCTTAAACTTCGGAATGTAATATCAACCCGGTGTTTGTATTTTCATAGATATTATGAAATTATAGGGATGTTGATGCGGTAAAAAAACGATCGAAGTTCAGCGTACGCACCACAATTTTCTTTAAATCTCTAGTTTTAGCGCCGTCCACATGACACGACATTTTTTGTATGTTTGTAAAAAATGAATGAGACGAAGTTGTGTGCATAGAAATACAAAGGAAAAACCTTATTCATTTGAAATTGATTCAATCCTTTTTGACAAAGTCATTTTTGCATCATAAATAATCTCACAGAGATTTCAATGGAAAATCATTTGAGTTCTTGGATTTATAAAGAAATATTTGAGCTATTTCTTTTTTATTAATTGCAAAATTGAAACGTCATGATTAGATTAGATTGAAATGCGGTTTATACAATTGAACTTTTATAAGATGACTTTCAAAAAAATAAAATAAGAGTTCTATCAAATTTCTTTAAATATTTACGGTAGATATAATTTGAATAGTTTTTTACAATTAGGTATTTAGCATATAGATATTTAAAATTTAAATTTCAAATACAAATATGTAGATAATATATTTTATAATTTCGCATATAAAATAAATTTTTCAAAACACTGATGTTTTATTTAAAAAAATTAATTAAAAGAAATAAATATCTATTCATCTATCATCGATGTTTTTTATAACGGATACTTTGGTATGTAAAAGAAATCTTTAAAAATTAATTTGAATTATAATAGATAGTTAGACAATAAAGTTTTATGATTAACCAGTGGTTTTCCTCGAATATTTGTATCATTCCATTTGTATCATTTCTTATCACATGTAGAATTACGAGACTTTAATTATTCTTTAGAATGACTATAGATTACACTAAGGTAAGCAATTAATATGTTCTCAACAAGAATATACCTAAATCAAAAAAAAATAATTAAAATGTTCCATATAAATTAAAATTACGAAACACATCATGAAACTTTCGAACTATTTATTTGTTGCGTAAGATGAGTTGAAATTATTCATGAACATGACTATGTTTCTGTTTACCTTGTCATTTCACATAAATTGCTGAGAGAATGAGAAGAAGGAAAAAGACGGAAATTTGCATGAAATTAAATTTAAAGGCAATAAATCTTTAAGTTTAATAAAAAAAAAAGAAATGATCTAAATTAATTTCAATGTGAAAAATGTTAATTTGTGGCAAACATGAAATTTTTTTACTCGTACACTGACGACTCTAAGTTTTCAATGAAATTTTGATTGTTTCTTAAACAACATAATTTAATTTATGCGATTGTTTGAATTCATGCAATTCACTCTTTTTGATACGATCTGAGTTATTTTGAAATTCTTTTGTATGAAGAGTACTTTGAAACAATTTTGATAAGAAGTATACAATATACTTTTTGATGCTCAACATACGATACGAAACATATGAGTCGCAGATCTTAAATCATCATGATTTATTTTCTCTTAATACATCGTTTATAATTCTAATGGGAGTTGAAAGCGAAAGATAAATAAATATCATAATATAATCTTTGCCTACCTCGGTATGCGCCTTGAATGCTTCACATTAACATGTTTCACATCTTAAAGATCTTTCAACTCAAAACACCAAAAGTCGATTAAAATGGAGGCGAAAAGAAAAATGTTTTATAGAAAATCATAATGCTTTTATTTAAAAAAAAAAAAGAAACAAGATTTCAAGAGCGTCAACAAAATGCAAACGATATTGTTCATTTTTGTTTAATATTTTAATAAACCAATGCTTTTTGTATATTTATAAAAATGTGAATTTCAGGTAACAGATGTTTTAAATTGCTATATTTATTTTAAGTTTATTAACTAAGGCTACATGTTTCTATCAACTTTCTCCTCTCTCTTATTAAAAATAAAAAAATCTGCGTGTGCTTAAAAATAATTTCAACAAATGGTTAGCTATTAAGAACTTTATGAAAAAATAATTTTTTGTTGCAATAATGGCAACCAGATTGAGGTATTTTATATAAAAAGTATATTAAGATACAATGGTCAGTTGCGCTCTTTCAACTGTTTTATTAATTGCGTCTCTTATGAATGTCAAATAAAACATAACTTCTATATGACATATGAAGTTTAAATATTACATCTTTCCTTCCCTCCCCCTATTAAGTATATATACGTATATATGTATGTACTTCTTTTATTTTCTCGTTTCAGATGCCGCCTGAAAGTATTACTGAAGCACAAGACCAATAAGAAAAACAACAGAAAAAAATGTAGCCTGCTGTTCGTTGAGGTTTTAAACAACAAATAATCTTGAATATAAAATGCCTAATAATAATAATAATAATTTCATACAATTTCATTCACAATTGATTTCTTTCCACTTATTTGTTATTCAAACAAAAGTTGATGAGAATTTTTTTTTACGAGTCTTACATAAATATGACAATTTCAGAAGAAATGTTTCGGTATTGTAAACGAGAATGTTTTAATCTTGTCGCAGGTTTTTTTGCTTCGTAAGATATGAAAGCATGTGATTATGTATATAATCATAAACATTCTGATTTGAGATTCTCATTTGACTCCTTCTCGAAACCCAAAACATAAAACATATTTTTATGATCTTAAAATTCCACTTTACGTTTTGACTGCCTTTGTAACGTTTGTTATATAATTTTAAATCCCTAAGCACTAGGGTAAAGATTTTCAAACACTTCAAATATTTATCATATGTGGAATTTCTGAAAACATTTTATTTCCCGCATATTTGTAAATGGAAATAAATTTTTCATTAAATATTTGATTTTTTTAATGTAAGCAGTTATATGTATAACATATCTTATTTATGAAGTATGGATTAGTATTTCCACGGAAGTTCAATTAAAATTGCGACCGGAAAAAGTCTTTAACATACACATGAAAATAGAAGTTATATTTAAATGTTAGACTCAGATAAATTCTTTAACATAGAAAGATTTTTAGAATTTTTAAGTTTTAATAATAGAAATTTAATAGCAAGTTATCGTTTCGTGAGAAGTAAGTAATAAGTAAGTGGTTCTTCTTATGTAGCTTTGTGATTTTACATACCGACACATCACCATTTTTCTTACCCTCGAAATAAAGAATTTCAATACTGAACCCAAAGAAATGAAGAAGCAGAAAAATCCCATAAAATAAGTGGCAAAAACAATTTTTTATGCTTTGATATCGATGATGATGATGCATGATTGAATGTTTATGTGACTTTATGTTATCGTCAATACAAAGTGAAGCATAAAAATATGTTTCACATAAAATCCACCGTTTTTATTCGATTTTATTTGAAGCAAGGAGAAGAAATTGAATGACGAGAGGGGATTATTGAGTGGTGGGATGGAGTTTACAGAGACAATTTTTATTATGGTTTTCAAACCTGGTCGGTGCTATTTCCTTTAGAAAATAGCTAACGCTGACTCTTGTAATATTTTAGAAAGATATCAATGGTGCTGTATATGATTTTATGTTTCTTGAGCTGCAATAAAAGGGATGAAATGTTTGATATCTCAGAAACGACCCCAGAGAATGAACGTGAAGACGTAAGTGAGATTGTCATGCTGAGCACCCTTTTAAACAAACATATCAACATATATTTTATCGAGGAATTCATTCGTTTTCCGCGTGAGTATGAGTTAAACTCAATAAGAATTCCCGGTGAAAACAGTTGACTTTGCGCCTTTCACGGTTTCCGCACAAATCGCCAGAAAAAATTATGAATTTTCCATGTTTCACTCATAAATGAACATATATTTTTTTTTATAACAAAGCAAACAAAAAAGAATGTTCAACCCAAAGTCAATAGTGAAAAGGCAAAAAATAAATGTAGGAGAAATGTCACCCCAATATCAATGGGATAGACAAGGGCTGTGAAAATGATTTGACTATAAAAATATTGATGCCTGACATATTAAAGAAAACGTATTTAATTTCATCCATTCTAACTTTTGTCAATCTCACCTTCACTTATACCATCCGCACTATGTCTGGATTACAATCATGTTAAATAGAAATATTAACATGAAAAACTTTCATCTCATCACATTTGGAATTTTCCCATTGTCATTCCATTAGAATCATTTTCCATACCAATAACAGCCGTGGCTAAGAATGTTCTTTCTCGCTGTCAAAATATAAAGACGAAATAATTTAATGTATCTTCATCTCCTTCTCCATTCATTCAGTTGGTTTTTTAAGAGTAATTTTCATGAATAATGAAAAAACGATGATATTTGATATTGTCGAACATTATGATATTCTTACTTAGCTTTATTTTTTGTTATTTTACCGCTCCGCTTCGAGATAAATCAAACTGGAAAATTTTCAGGTATCATAGACGTATGGAAAATGATGATATAATTAAATTCCGATGATTTTCAAATTTGACTGATGAAGAAAAAAGGATGAAAAACCTCTTTAAACCACTGCAGCATTTATTAAATATATGTAGAAGCAGTTATGTCGTTCAGCAATATTGTTTGCGGCTTTTCATTTTTTTTTTCAGCAAATCATGACGGTTCGTCAAAAACTCTCACGAATTTGTTTCTGGGCAGACTGTTGTTGTAAACGGAGATTTTCATTGTTTCTAAGAAAAGTTTGTCGATTAAATTATTCAAATTTAATTTTTGTTTAGACTTAAAACATTCAAAATTTTGAATTTTTAATCCAACTAGTATAGAAATCAGATGCATTACATATATCAGTTGAATAAAGTTCTGTTAAAGCTTTTCTTATTTAAAAGTGAATAATTTAAGAAGAACTTTACTGACGTGACGATAAAATATATTTTGATGCGTAGCAGAATATGTTCAGGGAAATTTCTAATTAATTAGATAAAATCGGACTTGAATAAAACTAAAATATCATGAAATTCACGATTTATTCCCATTGAAGTTTCATCATGTTATTGTTTGCAATTCAATTGAATGCGAAAATATTGATGTGCACTTGCCTTTAGTCATCGTCATCATCATAACAACATTTGCTTTTCTTCTCCATTATGTGTGACGAGAGTCAATGCCGTTATATTTGCTTTCATTACGCATTAGCCAAAGCTTGAAGTATTGTATTTGCTATAAATACTTTTAGAGGATTTATTATCTCACAAATAAACAAATAAATGAATGATTATGATATATTTGTAAACTGATATGGTCAAATACATTAACTCTCGACTTCATTCGAATATCATTTACTTTGTGGTGCAGGCAAAACCAATGTGATGTTATCTCAAGATGAATGCATTTTCATTTGTTGTAACAAAAGGTTTCAGCAAGTGATAAATGAAAATAGGATATTTTTGAACGTAGTATTTGCAATTATTTAAGTTCATTGTGTTCATTCAGATGTGTTCATTATTTCTTGATATATGCGTCTGCCCTGTGTAGAAATATGTTATTCTTTGAATGAAATTGAAAATATTTTTGTTGTTCTAAAAACAGCAGTTTAAAGAAAAATACCGTAAATGGTAAATAAAATATCATTCCATTCTATTCTATTCTATTTAATTTAATTAAATTGAAATTGTTTGAATTCTATAATTACGGAAATGAAGTGGACAAAATTGATAATTTCCCTCAAACGCGATACAATACTTCCATTTGGGATGTAATCCAAATTTTGCAAACCAAAATGCATTTATATTCCTGCTTCAAGGAAGATGAATAATCATTTGTCTTGTCATTTATATAATTTACATTGAGTTCGTCTTTTAAATCAATGTTAATTTTTTGAGCTCTCAGAAATCATTCAAACATAACATTCAAATTTGAATAATGAGTGAAATTTTACATTAAACCATTTTCCCAATTAAACATTCATTTGAACGACAAAACAAATTTTTTACAAAGGAATTTTTCGTACCAAAGCATTCGGAAAATTAAAGTTAATCTGGCGGATAAATCTATTTACGCTCTTTCGTTGGATGAGCGACGCCTAACGTTGTTTTCTGTCTATTTTATAAAGCAATTAGAATCCCACATTGGAAAATTTCATTTCACACACAATTCAGGATGCTTATCGGGACAAATATAAATTCACACTCGTTCATTTAATTGACAGATAAACATTTGTACAAATTATTCATGCATCAACGAAATTTCGTTCGTTCAGATTTCAATTATTATGGGGAAAAGATAGAGTGGAACGTACTATATATGGGAAGAATTCTGCTGGAAGTTCTATGTAGGGTTAAAATTTTACTTAAATCAAAATACCAGCAATTTGTCAATTCGTCAATTTAATTCCCCAAAAGGAAGAAAATACTTCATTTCTAATTAATTGTTTGTGAGTTTATTTCAAGTTTGAGATTATGCTAATTATATTTTTCTTTGTTGCTTCCATTTACTTTTGCATTGCTATGTGCAAGGAAGCATAAGAGAAGATCAACCCTTTTTTCTAGCATTCTGAATTATCTTTCAGATATTAAATCCTGAATAAAAAATGAGAACTTTATTTAGTTGTTTTTTACTATTCAAATAAAATTTAATTACAATTTTTGCTCTAAAAAATTTTGCTTATAAAACGTGTATAATGATGATGGGATTTTTACCCTCGTTTTAGAGTGTAAAAATGCTTGTCCTCACTAATTAATGAGCCAACCTGGCAGTGGTTGTGAAAGTGTGGTTGGCCTACACATATTAATGTTTTTTTGTTCTTCATCGCAATTGCAAAGCAATGTAAAAGGAGCAGTGAAAAATTGAAATGTGAATACTCATCTCATCTTCAACAGAAGCCACAAGAAGAATTTTCTTTATTATTCAAATAAATGTATCTAAGTAGTTTAAAAATTTAAAGACCTTTTTTACAATCAAAACACCTGCGACCGAAATAAAAATTCAACACTTTTCGCACACTTTTCATACATAAAGTAAACCAGAAAGAGATCGCTTCGGCATGGCACTTTTCGTAACCCTCTTAGGAGCTCCGTTTGCTTTTTTAATTAGGTTCAATTTCATAAATTTCTCTGTTGAAAGAGGTGCGAAACTCCACCGTTTCTTTAGAATGTTTCATTTTTTGAGAAAATATAGAGATAAAGAGTGGAAAAAGTATTTTTCCTTTCACCTAATGCGCGACTGTCATAAATGGATTGTTTATGTTTATGGTTATATTTTTCCAACCTTCTAGTAGAAAAAGAAAACAAGTTTACGATCACAAAAGAATTAAGAAAGGAAAAGAAAAAAAATGCATTAATAATTTAATTCTTTTAGACAAATTACAAGATTTTTTCTGCTTTTGTTGTTCCCTTGAAAATCTCTATGTCTAATTAAATATTATTCCTTTTTGTTATAAAATAAACTTGAAGATGGTGTGGTTTTTTCTTCATGTATCTTGTGAGAAATATTAAGATAATAATTTCGACCATAAATCAATTCTTTTAAAATTAGATTTCTATTCGCTATTTTCGCTTTTAATGCTAATGGTTTGAAACTGAAAAAATAATTAGATTTTATTGTTGTATTATTGGAGGGTGAAGAGGCGTCTTGTATTTTTAAAAACTCTACCCCCGTTTTGTTATAAAAAATAATTCTCTTCATGGTTAAAAATTGACAACATTTCCATATTTGTGTCTTGTACATAGAGGTTAAATGTTATTTTCTTTGAAAGGAAATTCGTATTGACTTGAGAGCTATGTAACTACCAAGTTGCCTTCTAATCAAAAACCATAAAAATATTTTAAACCCATAAAAACGTCTTATCACATTTTTTATTTTGCAATTGTGAACATTAAGAAGTGTTCTGATGAGCATAATCTTAAAATTGAGCACCAATGATTTCATATTTTCTTTTATTTGAGTAGAAATATTGAAAATGTGTTTTATCGATTTAAAAAATATTAAGAAGCATTCAGGGGAATAAGCGGAACAAAAGATATGCAAAATTGCCGGAATAAATGTTTGACTTAGCAAGAGAAGAATTTGAAAAATCTTACCAATTTAATTTCAAATAAAAATCTTTTCAAGTTTTATCATTTGGGGTGAAATATTATTTGAGAGAACAAAGTGAATGAACAAATGAAACGGAAATATTTGTATACATATGTTCATGTTACATGAAAGATTGAAAAATCAATGATATGAAAAATCGTAACAAGTTATGATTAAAAGAAGGCAAACAAAATTTTCTTCTCCTTGATAACAGATGGCAGCACAATATTGAATGATGTGAAATTTGATGTTGGCGAAGAGTTCTTTTAGAAACTTTTTCTATATAAATTCAACTGAAATTGAAAGGTGTGAAATTGAATGTGCTGAATAAAACCTTTTCTTCCCTAAAAATATTTCATATTCCAAATTTAAATAACGAGTTTCAAAAAGATTTAATCATCAAGTCACACTCGTAATTAATATTCTTTTCATGATGAAGTAGCAAGATATTATTTATTTCAGTAAACCCTGTTGAGTTTTGTTTTAAAAACTTCATTCAAAGATGTTCATGCAGTTTGAAATGAATTTTATATTCATCATGTAGTAACGTGACTATACTCATTGAAAAACAACCAAGCCCACGCAAGAAAAGCAACAAAACGATTTGGTGAGGAGACAAACAATTAAAATTCATGAAAAGATAGCAATTAAAAGTGTTAAACATCAACACTCTACGTTTGTATTTCACTAGTTTATTTACACAAGAAAAATCATATCATGCTTTCAAAGGGGCGCTTGGAAGTAGTGTAAACAGTTTTCATGAGGTGCTTGTTGATTTTTCTCTTTGTGTTTTGATTGCTAAGGTCAGCAAAAGGGGCATTCATTGGTTTTATAAACACAATTTTCTGTCTACATATGCCATGTTATAAACAGTCAACTTCTTTTCTTCATTGTGATATATTGAGCTCAAGTATGTTGCTTTTTCTGTCATAAAACGCATTTTTGTCTTAAGTCAATTTAAATAAATTCGAAGGTAAACTAAAAGAAAAGAATTTTTAATATCTTCTGATCATGCGCTTTCAAAGCTTTGGAGTCCTTTTTTCATCATATTATTCTATCTCTTTTCAAATTATCACACTTAAACAGTCACACAGAACCATCCCCATTACGAATTGAATTTTAAGGCGTTTTCATGTTATGACTTCAAAATTTCGAATATCGAAGAAAATTTATGCGAATGCGAAAGTTCTTAAAAAAAGATATGTACAAAAATTTCATCATCTTTTTATTTTTGTATTCCTTTTACAACCAAACTTTTCTTTAAAGCTTCGTCCTCGGGTTAATGAAAAAATCAATATTTCTATGAATATTCCCATCTTTTGCTGTTTCTCACTCTACTTTCCATTTATGTGTTTTGGTTGCAAGACAATGTTTCATCAAAGATGTTATTGAAAGAGTATTGATTTCGATTTAACTTGGCGAAGAAAAAGACAAAATTCATGTTGTTTTCGAAAACATAAAATTTTACACTGTTATAAGTTTAAAATTCTCTTTTTCATTCATAATTATGAATTAAAAATACATATTAAATTTTGAATCATGCAGGATTCGGTGCATCTTTTTACAAATTGAGGATATTTGATATTTCGTACATGAATTTAGTTTTGAAGCATCTCAAAGAAAATATTGTTTATGGCTTCTTTCTCTCAGTTAGAGTTATCTAATTATATTTTCTTTTACGAGCTTACACGCGCCTCAGTGCGGTTTCAAAACGAAACAGGATTTTATCTCATGCTGGTAATTGATTGCGAAAAGTTGATGTCGGAGGAAGGATGTTTGATATTACTACCCACAAAAAAAAGAAATAAAATAAAGAAAACCGACAACCGGACAAACAAAATTATCGTCAATAAAAAAATATTTTTCACCAGCATGTTCAACATACGAGAACGAATGATGATTTACGAAATACAATAAATTATGTTTTTATATCCCTCCACCCTCACTTAAATCGCTGTCCAAAATCACTAACATCTCAATAGAAAAACAATTCTCTCGTTGATTTTCCAATTCCGGGACAGAAAAATTTCACAGGCATTTGAGCTATAAATTGATGGATATTAGGAGAGGGTCAAGCCATCGGCTCACTTGGACTTACAGATATCTAATATATATTTCGAAACGTGTGCTATATGCATTTAGAAATCAACCCTAAAAAATTTACACGTTTTCAGGATGTTATTGAATAATATTGAGTCTGAGAGACAGCGCCAACAGTTAAAAGGGGTTACAGAAAGTTCAATTAAATTCGAGTCATAATTTATTTGTAATCAACTTTTTCTCTGCGCTGTTGCCATCTCTCCACCTTCAAACTGTTAAAATTTTCAATTAATTCCGCATAAATGATCAATACATAAAGAAAATTAATTATTCAAAGATGAAGGAGAAGATTTAATGAACATAACGTTTAAGAAGGAAAATTTATGATTAAACCCGAATTTATATTTCTATAAGATATTTTGCTTAAGTAATAATCAGTCTAGGATGTATTAACAAGTGACGTATAACATTCCTATTTATTATCATAAACTACTTATTTAAGTTTGAATACTTTTATAGATAGCAAATGTAGAAATTCCTTGATAAAGAAATTTCTTAATATGAAATTTTTTATATTTATGTAAGATGTTCGATGTAATATAATTTTCGTATGATCATTAAAATGAGTCGAATGTTTCAGTTTTTCGGATATCATTCACTCCCCTTGTAACATAAATATTAAAAACTTGAGAATCTCTTGATGAACAAATTTTTTAACAAATTGAATTTAATTGTTGTAAATAAATAATGGTTTACTTTGGAATCATCATTTCACAGTGATTTTAATGGAAAACTTAGGATGGCCTTAATTGAATCTGTGAAAAAGTTCGGTAATACTTGGAATAAGTTGTTACCAAAATATTGTTATAAAATTCATGATTATTTTTAACGGATGAAATGTTTGAGTGCTAATGGATTATGACTAATTGGAGTATTTCAACAATAATTGCTATCAAGGATTACATTTATATCTCAACCGGGTTAATGAGGCAGAGCGTCTTGAGAGATAGATATTTTGCAAAATTTATGAAGATAAAACGAAGAATGTAAACAAGAATTCATCTTCTAAAGCAAGATTGAATATTTGAACAAAAAATTATCTAAGATAAACTTTGTTTATTAAAATAAATTCTTAATTTTTTTCTTAGCTCAATATCAAATTAATTAAGGAGAAAAAAAAGAATCCTGAATTCTACGGACACGGTTGCAAAGTTAATTTAAATCTCAAACATAGCAAAAAGTAAATTCAATTTTTTAGCAAAGGGAAGAAAATAAATTCATGGAATTTTCTTCTTGTTTTTAGTTGGACAGGAAATTGAATTTCACGAGATTTGATGAAAATAAATGGTAGTATAATTAAATCACTTTTCATTTGAAGTGAAACTTGGTTCATTTCAAACCGTATCATTAGCCTGTTTGTATATTGATTTATTTTCCTGTTGCTTTTGCTTTTGATTTGTTGTAAAATTGGCTTAATATGATTGTCCCCTTTGCATGTAGCATTCATTACAGGTTTCCTACATTTTCGGTAACAATAATTCAACAAGTTTCAATTTTCATTTAAAATCACGATAGCAAGAAATTTCAAATTTATTATTTTTTTTTTAAAAAATATCCCTATTTCTCTATTTTAAATAAACCTTTTCATCAAGTATCGTCATCACTCACAAATCGTAGTGTAGAAATTTCACATGTTGAAGGGTAGATTTTGATGGATTTCCAAATGTCATCCATTTATATCTGCGATTACCTAAAGAGATTTCCTTGCATTTGCCATAATGCTTCCCAGGAGACCTTTTTTTGTTTTCTGTTTTTCTGATATCTTTTAAGGTCTATTATTAAGTAAACTATGGAATAATGCTACATTCATCGTTAGTTTAGTAAGACATGTTTTCCTTGATGAATTTTAATTTGTAAATGAATAAAACACTCTTATTCATTTTACATGAAATATTTAAAAAATTACTCGAATTTAGAACAGAGAAGAAGCTACATATAGCTTTCATTTTACTTCATCTCATATATTTATATCAAATGATTGATTCCTTGATAGCTTGCTTAAAAATGAATTTTAATTTAATGTGTTTCTTGAAGGCAAATGAATTTTTTGGTGTTCGTCTTCTTTTTCATTTTTTTAAGTTTTAAAGTAAAAGCTATAGATGTTGTTATATTTTATTTTTGTATGTTCCAAGTATCAATAATTTTAAACCGTAGAGAAAATATCTGCATGTTTGCAACTTGCAACTGAGTATTGGGATATATATATGTATATATTCCTGAATCGATTTCAAGAGAGTAATTTCAAGACAACACCATTTCAATTTTAATGATACATGTTTTGGTAAAATCGCCGGCAGGATTTTCTTTGTCTGAACGTTTTTCGAATAACAAAACATCATTCGATCGAAATGGAAACTTGATACCAACAAAGAATCAAATAATCAGACAAGACAGAATAAAAAAATCTTTAGCTTCCTTTGCTTCTTTTTAGTATGTATAAATAAGAGTTTGGTCACTTAAACTTCCTTCCAAAAAATATGGATGCATCATTTGATATTGTTTCATGTCATATTGTATGCATATTGTGAATTCATAATTAAAATTATGCGAACGATATCTGATACCAAATGAAAAAAGGAATTCCAATTGAATGAATATTTTATGCAACAAAAGAGTTAAGTTATATTGTATATGATATGCAATACTGTGTATGACAAAATTTATCATATCTCAATTCGAATTCTCGTCCTTAAAAGATTTTTCAATTATTAATTATATGTTAGAAAATCTATATTGTCAATCTAACATATCGTAAACAATTTAGAATTTGTAACGTTAATAAGTAATTAAAAAATATACAGTTACTTTTATGTGTATGTATTTTCTTTTATATTATATTTATACTTCTCATTTGATTGATGATGTTACTAAAACTCTTTAATGCCTTGCTTAAAGTCTAATTCTTAAATTTAGTTTTATTTGGCCAGTCCCATCTGATTGAGAAATAATTAGAGAAAAGTAATGAAATAAAAAATATACTTTGTACATATCATCTGCAATCCCATGAATTTAGTCACTCTTTAAAACGACATAGTCACTGCTAAGAAGGATTTAATCTGAAAACTGAATGAATTGGTAAAAATTTGTTTACGTAACGCTTACGAAAAGTCGAGTTTGGAAAGGGGTGTAAAATATTTCTATTTTCCACGATAAACATGAGTGAGAAGGAATATGATTTATTTATTTGTAGTCTCAATCAATCATCGAGCAAGAAATGTTATCAGAATAAACACAAGATGTCAGAACCTTTTCTTCCATTTGGTAGATTGAATCTGAGATAGGCACAAGAGAAAAAATATTTTTTTTTGCCTTTTATTGATTTGAAATTAAATCCTAAATAGCTCAAACCATATAAGATCTTTCTTCAATGCAATCAGCCTCTCCTATACTACAAAAGCAATAATGAACGTTTTTTTTAATTTCATTCTAGAGCAAATCAATCAAACAGAAACGGTTGATAAGAAGACTAATTTGCATATCTTTTTTAAGGAGGAAGAAATCAACTCACGCTAATGAAGGTAAAGTCAAAGAAAATGAAAGAAAAAAGGATTCCAACAATTTTTTATCTTGTCAATTTTTTTTCTATTTTCCATGGTAGTGATTAATCCATTGCTAATTAATATTAATGATGGTGGTGCCAAAAATGCAACTTTATTAAGATATGTCATTTTCACTCGAACTTCAAAATTTCTAAATATATTTTAAGGTATAAGAAAGGAAATAAAATATGCATAATTTGTTAAAAATTAAATTTCTTTAAAAAATTTGCCTATTTAAATTGAACTTTCCCATTTAGTATTATAAAACTAGCAAAGATACTATACAAATAAGTATATGTACGTTCTTTATTTTGAAAGTTATAAGTATGCAAATATGTGTAATTAAATTTCAATGTTCTGGGTTATCATGATTTGATCTGCAGTTAAGATAGTATCTCACATCTTATTCCTTTCATATGATATTGCATAAATTTTGGCTGTAAACCAAATTAAATTTGAATCCTTTTACTCTCTTACTCTTAAACACATTTGAAATTCATTTAAGAAAATATCAAGCTGCGTAACGTAGCAGTTCTTTGGGGGAGTTTGTTCTTGATTGCGAAAGTATTTGATTTTAAATCAAAATTAAATCTAGAACAAACTCATGCCCGTGAAGAATGTGAAATGGGGGTTGGGAGGAAAACTAGGGAGTGGAAGTGGAAATGTAATGGGGTTAATTCTAAATGAAATGAAAATGATTATGTTCTTTTGCTTTTCTTCTGTTATTATGTTGTTGATGGGTTCGAGTAAAATACAATAATCACGGCATAAAATAAGCAAATTTACAACAAGGAAAGAGCAAGCAACAACCCGATTTTGAGCTTTTCTTTTTCCTCGTTAAGTAAAAGTGAATTTTTTTTCTGTTTCTTCTTTTATTGTTAATCTTGGGAAAATATAAATAAATATGAGTGATGATAACCATGAAAAAGTATTCAGAGGCAGTGGCGGTTGTTTAAAATATCTTCATTCTATTCAGATCTTATTCTTACTTCATATTTTTTATATAGATACTATCAAAATATCTACATTGTGGAATTAAAGTAGATAATCAGAAATCAGGAACTAGATTTGACTTGTTTCAAGAAATTTACTTTTTTTGCTTTTGCATTTGTTTAGTACCTACATAATTTAAACTTTGTTGCAAGATATTCAAGAAAGAACAAAGAAGTAATTATCAGAACATGGTATTTTTCATTTATTTATAATCTGAAATTAAACCAAAAGTGTCAATCAAAGTAGATTGTAGATATACATATTCTAAAGTTTATTTAGTACGGTTAATTAAGAAAAAGAGTATTAGGAGTTGTTTAAGAATCAATTTACGGAGGCCCCACCCTAGGGTGACGGGCCACCGTATTGGATTTGCCCAAAAATTTCAAAAAAATTTCTTTGCTTAGTTACACTTAAAATGGCTTGAAACGTCGAGAAAAGTGGAAAAAAACGAAAAAAAAAATTGTGTCCGCCTTCGGGTCTGTGGGGATGGATGGATGTAGCCGTGTAAACACTGCCATTTCCACATTTCTTGACCGATTTGTAAAATTTCTTTACCAATATGTTTTAAATACGAATAGAATTTTTCTATCAAGTTATGGGGTTCGTACCTTTCCTATTTCGGGTACCTGCCATACAAAATGTTCCTTTTCAGAGCGAAAAAAAAAACATTCCCAGCGAAAAAAAAAAAACATTGCGAAGAAAAAAAAAGTCTGTTACCGAAAGTCGGCCCCAACAATAAATGTCGTGCAAAAGCCCGATATTTAAAACTCCGGCAGTTATAGAATTTCTAGACGAACAGTATTAGTAAAAATCTAACTCCAATAAGGGGCCACTTTGTATAATGTTTCCACCTTCGATATTCCAGAAACTTTTCACACAAAGTGGCCCCTTATTGGAGTTAGATTTTTACTAATACTGTTCGTCTAGAAATTCTATAACTGCCGGAGTTTTAAATATCGGGCTTTTGCACGATATTTATTGTTGGGGCCGACTTTCGGTAATTTATAATTTATATTTGAAAATTTAAGCTGGGAGAATTACAATTACCTACCTGACTAAATTTTTATCAGTAAACCTGAAATAAATAGAAATTATGTTTGTTCTCAATTTAAAATTTAGATTTTCCTTTAGTAATATTTATTTTTACGAAATCTTTTCCGATTTTGCAAACAATATTTGCGCTGAATTACATATTTATCCTTTTTGTTATCAAAATCTTAGAAACAGTATGCTCTTGAAGGTTTGATAGATGAATTAAAAATTAACATAGAAACATAAAGGTTAACAATAGTTTGGTTGTTTTCGATAAGGTTTGGAAATATTCTATACAACGTATTCCGTCAGTAACTATGTGATAAACAGATTGAAAAACAAAATATTGTTAATCAAACTGTTCACACTTGTTACCACTAATTAAACAAAATTTATTTAAAAAATTATTGAGCACAATTGAGTTTGTTTCTATATTGTTTGTGCTCAAATTTAGTTGTTATATTTGTTTCTTAACTAGGTAGGTAGTGTTTTTAAAATTTACTTCGCTTAACCTCGCTCTCATTTTTTATATTATTTCGTAAAACTTATTATTCTATACTGTTAGCTTAGTATTTATTTATTAAATTTATGGCAATTTAAAACAAAAATTATTGCATGTAAATTTAAAAATTTTAGCACATCTAAAATTTTGTTTTTATTTCTCATCTAAGTACGTGAAAACAATGAGAGAATTTTAATTTTAAATTAATCAAGATAATTAAGAAAAAAGTCAAAAATCAATATAAGTATACATTTGTGCTCATAATTTATTTAGCTATGCTCAAAACGAAGCTACTAGAGCAATAAAATATTACTGAAAGTTTATATTAAAAAAAAAATGATAATAAAGCTCAAAGTATTTTATTCTATTTTTCTATATAATGAAGACAGGTGTAAATTAAATGTGTCAATTGATACTTTTTTCGTCAGAATAATGGAAATTGTTGAGATGAATGTTCCTCGATAAGTTGGATCCTCTTTTTATAAAATGTTACACAAGGAAAAAGAATTCTTTGGAAAATTCTAATTTAGATCACATTTACGTAGCACTGGTATACAACATTGAGTTTTTATAGTAGTTCGGCCGCTCTTGAAGTGGACCTTTCACGTCATTCTCAGTCGTTTGCCGATTCTTCCGTTCAAGTTCCATTTCTTTTGCAATAGATTCTGTTGATAAAATAGAAGATGAATATTATAATAACTACCTTACATATTAATTTGTTGCATTGCCATCAGGGTTAATTATATATCTTATCCAAAAGTATTTCTCACTAAATACAAAATCATGATTTCTAAACAACACAAAAAAAGAGAAGTTCAAAAAATAAATATGATAAAGTCATCACTTAAATTTCATTTCTATTGATTCGCTTGAAGGAATCAACGTCATATAAAGTACATCTTTATGCCGCGTAAATCCAATAATCAGCCACGAGAAGGAAAAGTCGTTATGTCTTCAAGCATGATATTTCTGAATTTTAATTCTTTTTTTTTTCTTGATTTAGCTTAGAATTAAAGAGCGTATAATGCATTTCAAATGGATTTTTTTTTTGTTATTTAACATTATTTTTTATTCTTTCCATCTTCAACAAACGGTGAAAGAAAGAAAATGTTTTTTTTATAACGATAATCCAATTTCATCCTGTTTTGTATTTTCTTTATTCATCGCGAAATACTGGATTCGCTTTTTTTTACTTATTTTATTGGGGAGAGCAACGAAGAAACGATTCAGTGTAGAAGGATTTTCCATCATCATATTTTGCGTTATCATGATAATTTTTTTTGGAATCGTTTATGTTTGCTTGGCAAAAGAGCACCCTGAAGGTTAAATTTATATTTTTGTATCAGTGAATGCGATCGGAAAACGTATTTATTCGCATGGTGAAAGTGTGTATGAGGGTGGAAGGAAATAGAATAAAGGCAAGGAAAAGCATTCCCGTTGAAAAGAATATTTTTTATTTGCTTTCACTTCTTTTTTTCTTTCTTCACTTTTATTCAACATCAAGAATATGAAAATTGAGAGTTGATTCAATTTCACGCAACAATTGTTTTTGTTGTGCTTCGTTTTTATCAAGAGAATTTACTTTTCATATTGGCTTTTTTGTATTTGCCGATTCGTTTCTCGTTTTTGTGAGTTAATGGCTGGAATAAATATTTTGCTGTTGTTCAGTTTATCTGTTGCGCTTACCTGAGTAGTTTTGCCAGAATGCTCCTGTTGCCATGATATTGTCTAACCCTGGAGGGTAATTCCAATTTTTCTCTAGTTCTGCGGGAAATTCACGGCTTGTTGGACGCTTAGGGCTTGTGCTGTTAGCTTTTCGATCACTAGATACAATTTTTTCACGTTCTTTATTGACGCGACTACAATCTTTTTCGATATCGCGTTCATTATCTCGACCTTTGTGAGCAGACTCATGTTCATTAGATGAAGAATGGTTGTTGTTACTGGTGGTCGTGTTATTGTTTTCTGTATCAAGAAAAAAAGAAGAAAAAAATTTCGTTAAACATTTTTATGTTCATGGCATTTTGCGAGAATCTAAATCACAAATAGAAGAAAATTACAAAGTTGACGACATCCAATGTCACTGTGAGGATAAAAAATTTCATCTTCAACATCGAGATGATGTATAGGAAAAATTGTGGCAGCCTTCATGTTATTTTAACATTTAATAAACGTATCAAGAATTAAAAGAATTTTAACCCTTTATATCAACGAGTTCAACGTTACCTATAGCTGCTGGCAGAATTATTTGAAATGTCAGAAGCATAAGAAAATTTTAAGAATTGCTGTGAAACTTGCTCATTAAATATTAAATTACCGTCAACTTCTTAGATGCAAAAGAATTGAAGTTCTTTCTTTCTATCATATGCAATAATTACCTGTAAGAATTCGTAGTGCTTCAGCGGGAGCACCCGATGCTTTAAGAATCTCTTCGATTTGAGTTCGTTTTTTAAACTCATTTTCCATTTGTTGCTGCAATTTTGTTCGAAGTCGTCGCTCTCGTTTGTAACGTTTCTGGTATAAAACTGCAAGATTTAAAACAAAAACAATCTTTTTATTATCTCAGTGAGAATCCAATAATTCTAATAGCAAATAAAGGCAAAAGCAATGATTGAAAACGAAACACTTGCAGTTAAGATTGAGGAAATTGATTTATTTCTATATACAATGAACACGAACGAAAATTGAACTAGAATCATAATGTATATAAATAATTGAATTTGAAAGGTTAATCAGCGGGGAATATCAATATAAGTGATAAGTGAACGTACACGATTCATTTCAGCCTAGGAATTGAACTCTCGAAATGTATATGGATATAAGGATAGAATCTTCGAGGAAGGGAAATGAGAAATATAAAAGAAATCATAACATGCTTCATCGCATTCAACGTTTGTGCATTTTTATTCATTCTTAATAACGAAACTTTTTTTCAATTTTATTGTTCTATTCAATTAATTATAAGCTCCTGATTCAATTTCGTGCGTTTTATTATAAAAGGTATTAGAGAATAAATATTTAATTGAACCTAATATTTGTTTTTATTTCGTGAGTAAGAATCATAACGTTTCAAGTGAGAAATGATGATTTTAAAATTTAAATCATGTGAAGATAGGAATTGGATACTTTTTCAATCATAAAGGTATGAAGTTGTTTGAAAGTTTTGTTATATAAAATTTTATAAACAAATTTATGAATGCTCCAATTAAAAATATTTTAATAAAACAGACATTTCTCGTTGATACTCGTACTGTTTTTACCATTTTACATCTTCATATTTTATTATTTTTCGTATATATTTAAAAATATAACTTCCATCGACTAGACTCTGTCTCTCAACAGTTGTGAAATTATTGCTGATTATATTTAAAAAAAAACTTAATGGAGTTGAATGTAGATAGATCCTACATGCATTTTAGGAGCTTTCGTGCAAAATGGTTTTTGCAATTTATGTTGAACTCATATTTCTCATTTAAGTTTTCGTATTTCAAGAGTTAATGCCCTGTATATATAAAAATACTTCTTCAAAAGCAGGGAAGAACCTTCGAATTCGCCATTAGCCTTCCATATTGAAAAATCCATATTGCTGCATTCTGCATAATTTAACAAAATTAGCATTTTCTTTTAGTTAGTTTTTTTTTGTTTTGTGTTGATATGCTTTGCTAAAATATTTATTGGCAATTGCAACAATATATTATTAAATATGATTATAGAGAATACAAAGAATATTTTCTTTTGTTGTTGACTCCATTTATGGCAGTTTTATTAACAATTCATGTATTTTTTTACTTTATGTTTGTAGATTGAATACTTCATGTTTTTCTCTCATATTTCTGTGATTCGTTTCTCCAAACCACGTTTCTTAAAAACTGTAATGAAAAAATAACCAAAAAAAATTGCAAAAAAGGGAAATGTTTTCAACGCATATCATTATGTTTTGATTGCTTTTTTTCTTTGATTCTTTTGTAACATTAATTCTTCAAGCGAGAGGCGTCCATCAAAAAGCCGTGCTTAAATATGCTTTCTGCATCATCTATTGATTTCATTGTATGGGATGAAGCAACGTTTATAAGTATTGATGAATTGTCCAGAAATTTATCTTGAAATGGAATTCGAAGTAATGAAATTGAAAAAGACGAAGATGTACATATGCATGTGTACACATTTGCTTTCTGAAATGTAACATTTTGATTTTGATGTATTTTTTATATTAAGTATGTCATTTTTTGATATCTACACTACTAAATTTACATCTATTTGATTTCATACATCGTAAAGTTTTTCACAACACTTTTCAATTATTTATATCTCGAGAATCTTAATTAGTTTTAAAGTTTTGGCTACTATTTAGAAGAGCCAATGGAGCGAGGAAAGGTTTTAAAATAAACAAGCACACAAACAAAATCCTCTTTTGAATGGTTTACCCTTTAGGATTGTTGAAAGATGAGAAAAATCCTAAAGGATTTAAATATGTATTTTGATTCCCCATTTTGAAGCTTCCGTATTTTTATTTTTAATTATTTTTATTTTCAATTATGATGAGTTATCATGAAGGCTTATCAAAGTAACACAGACAATAAACTTCATACTTATTTACTTGTGATAATCATCTTGGTAGAAATAAGCTTGGGAAATTTTATAATGTGAATCTTTTTTCATTGGGCATTGTGCATGGATTTCTGAATTTTAGGGATAAATGTGTAGGTGGCAAGGAAAATGAAGAGAAATTATTTTTGGATACTTGTTGCATTAAATATCTTTTATTCATTCAGAAGAAATGAAAACTAGAGATGAACAATTCAGAAATACTTATATAAAGTGAAACTCTATGTTTTCTAAACAGTGTATATTCCATAAATGAGGTTGATTTGTAAGTCAAAAGAAATTTTATTACTATTTTTGTAAGCTTTACGGAATCGATATTTTTTCTTCAGCCGTTAAAAACTGATTCATGCAACAATAAGGCGAATTCATAATGTGCATTCAAATCAATTTTCCAATATATAATCGAAGCAAATGAAATAAAAGGTAGCAAGCGTTCTTGTTGAAAGGTAAATTGCCTGGCACCTATTTTACCCATTGGAAACAATTTACTTAGTTTGTTGTGTGGCAAATAACAGGAAAGGTGACGATTATAGATTTTTTATAGTTTTGACTTTTTTCATAGTCATGAAGCAAGGTATGATTCAGACGCGTGTATGGGGCACGTGACAAATTGAAATTAAACATTTACATATTTTGTCTCTTCGTGATTTATATTACTCACTTCTTAGTTTCTGTTCCTCGGTGAATTGTCGTTCTAAAGAATCCTTCACTTCTCTCTCGCGAAGCACATCCATCTTTAGCTCAGCTTTAAATAGATTTAATTAAATTTATTATTAGAAGCGTTGCAATTTGAATTTCTCATATAGACACACTAAAATAATTTAATTCTGGAGAAAAATTTCCGACGGTAATTTCGCGATCGTAGAAACGTTTTGCAGACTTTAAAAAATTAGTTTAATTATAGTTATTTTATGAATAGCTTATAAGTTTTCAAATTAAAAATTCATTTCAATTTTATTCCGACGATCGAGAGATCAATATTTGGTTTCATCATCAAACCCTTCGTAGCACAGACTGAAAGAATGAAAATTGATCAAATTATGGGTCACGTTAAACGATTCTTGATATCGATTTTTAAAGAAGGTCAATCAAATCAGTTTTGAAATTCTCACAGGTTGTACGAATTTATTGACTTTCGCTTCTCGGAAGAAAAAAAGAAAGAAACATCTTTATTTACTGTGGCGACAATTTAAAAAACAACCTGAAACTTTTGTTCAAATACAGATCTTTATTTTTCGTAATTAGATAAACCGCAAACAAAACAAAAAACAAAGGAATGTAAATACAAATAAGATAAAGACAATTATTTTTCATCCTGAAATGAAAATGTAAAAATCAAAACCTAGTAGATATATCTTTATCTGCAAGAAGCTTGCCGCGTGAAAAAAAATACAAACAAAAGCACTGAGATTTGAAAAGGAAGGAGAGGAATTAGGTAGCATGAGTCATTTCTGAGAAATTTCGCTCGCTCGTTTGCGATTATCTTTGTTGTTGTTTAAGTAAAACTAAGGCGAGGAAAGAACAGTAGAACGTACGAAAACATTTTAATGTTGAAGATAATTATCTTTGAAAACAATGGATTATCGTTTTATAAATTTAATCAGAAACGAAAGAATTTCTTTTCTGAAATATTCCCTCGATTTTTTCTTATTGCAAAAGGAAATATTACAAGAACCTATTAGCAAACAAAAAGTTTCATCGCAATACTTATCCCATGTTGATAATCATATATATTGGCAGCGAATGTTACCAAATGAAATCTTTAAATGGTTTGAAAAATGAATAACAATAAGTAAGTCAGGGGGCGAAGAAGTCTATAATAATATTTAAAGATTAATTCGTTTACGCTTGACTAATTCAATTAATTCTTATGAAAGTGCCCACAGCGAAAAGGTCTGAAAGGTTTTTGTATTATATCCTCACAGTGTCGAGAAGTTCTCATTCCTTTTATTTCGGCTGTTGAGCTCAACAAAATTTAATATTCACTGTAGAAAAACATTTAAATACACATTAGGTAAATATTTTGTTAGAACTCGATCTGGAAATGGGTAACAACATTAAAATAATATTATTTGGTTCAAGATTATTGAAGAACTTTCGTCAGTTAAAGGGAATGGGTATGAAAAGTAGGAAAGCTAGTTATGACTTCTAGATATAATAAAATTATAATTAGAAGGGCCTCATTTAATTTATTTTCATGGTTCCTTTCATTTAAAGTCTTTCTTTTGCAATGTATTGCAAAGGAAACTCTTTACATTTTATTTTAACATTTCTCGTCTTGCAAAATTTGGTAAACACGGATAAAAAGAGGAGAAAAAGTTATTCGAAACACCTCGAGGTGAAATAAAATCAAGAAAGTAAACATTAAATGTATAAGATGTAAAGAGAACTGCGAAGGAAAACAACAATTATTTTTCTAACCTAAACGCTTTGCTCAATCTCAAAAAAAAAGAAATGCAAAAAAGCAGTCAGTAAGTGTGCTGGAAAAATGTAAAAAAATTTTCGTCTCAAAACATTTCCGACGGCAGTTTTGAACATCCTTCTGAGTCGTTTTTTTCTGAAGAGAAGATTACATCTTGATTTCAGTTGAGGCTCTTTCACCGCATAATAATTGAGAAATGGGATGTGCAGAGCATAATTGTTCATATTTTATTTAAATAAGATTTAAATTTCATTTTTTATATGTATCTATTTTAACTTACGATTGTGGAACATAAGAATATCTAGAAGTACTTTTATGAAGCGAAGGGAAAAGTTTTATTTTAAATTTAATATATTTTTATAAGCACAACAAACAGAATCAAAAGAGTGAGAAATTATAAGAAGCAAAAAAGACATTTTTCGCCGCAAGGCATTTAAAGAAGCTCAATGGTGATCAATCGAAAGAACTGCAGTAAAATAGGCATTTTTATTATAAATTATAATCGATTTTACTTGATGAACTGTAGCTTTGGCACATATCACTTTAATATTTTGATTGTGATGATAAAGCTTTTCCCCTCCTTAGTGTTACGTATATGTATATAGAATTATCAAAGTGCGTTAATAATTAATTTCGTCACAATGAACATTGATGACAGCGAAGAATATTTAAAATATCTAATATTGATAACAATTTGAGGATGATTTTTTAAAGATAGTAGATAAGAATTGTAAAGAAATATTTAATACTGACTGAATGGCCAGAGCATTAAAAAGTGTTTCTTAGAATAATTCTCAAGAATGTTATCAATTTTTAAAAATATTTAAAAGCTGAAACCACTTAAATATGTTTTCCTTTTTCCTTCTTTATCGTTTTTGCTTCTCTCAAAACATACTTCAATTGTTATTGAATTTATTTCATTTTAACATTACGAGTAGTCGGCATTTTCCAGTAAATGTCCGAAGAGGCAGAAATTCAAAGGAATTTAATATTAAAAACCATTCCACAATTATCAATTTATTGGCTTTTTTCATTCAACATCATTTTATTACGAGAAATTTCTGTAAATATATATTGAAAGTAGTTATTGTCTAGTTGAATAATTTCAAGATTAATTTGTATCCTGGCATGTATTTTTATGTAAGCTGGAAACTTAAATATCAAATATCAAATCAATAAAATCTTAAAATCAATCGAAAGACCAAAACTATTTAAGATCAAAACTTAGAATTCAAGTTTGTGAATAGAAATCGAAATTCGAGTACTGTTTGACAAAGAACGACGATCGAAAAAATTGAATTATATCTTAGTATCTCTAGAATTAGTTTATATTAGTTAAAAAATATTGTGTATTGTACATTAGAAGTCATTAATCTAACAGGTGTAATTAATAGTCTCCTACCTAACCCAAAGATGTATTTTATTGTTCGATTATATTCACCAGGTTATGTTTATATACCATAGGAATGTCAGAAACACATGTTATATTTAATAATAATCAATTAACACTCAGCACCTTTCAAACATTCAGTTTTCATAGATAACGCGAAAACTTATTTAATACTTTCTGTTCATAATGGATTAGATACAAAAATAAATAAAAAAACCAATAAAGTATTCTGTCATTGTTATCACTTAAATGGAAATGGAAATTTATATTTTATTTGTGTTTAAATATTTACAACACTATCAGTCGGATTTATTTTATGCTTTTATTCTTGTACTTGAAAAGATTGACTTTTGAATAACGAACAAGAGTACACTAAAAGGTTATTTGAATTAAATCTCATCAGCTTACCTTTTTCAAAGTTTATCTGACGCTCCTGTTGTCTTGCATTATCTGCAGCAACTTTTAGTAAACCTTGAATATTTCTAAGAAGTGTTTCGGTCGATGATAAGCTCGAATCTGGTTCACCATTGGGAACATTAGCTGCTGTTGCTGCTGTTAACGTTGAGTAGTTTAATGCTTGCTGTCGTGAATCTAATTCAGAATTTGTAACCGGAGGTGGCGTTGTATTAGGATGTTCCGTATCACTAAGGTCTGGAAAACATTTCGTTCTTAAGTATAATATTTTAGCAAATTTAAAATTTTGTTTTGAATTCAGAAATTCTTAAAAATGATTTTCATGTTCTTCGATGTATCCAGCTAGTTTTATTTATTTTATGCTACTGGGTCATGTCACATGCAACCATAAATTATGAATATGAAAGAATATTCCGAAAAAAAATCCACAACTATTTATGCATGTAATTTTAGGATTCGCGGTTGAATAAAGAGTTGGTTTTGATTGAAATAAAATAAAAACATGCGCAGGGGTAAACCAAAAAATAGAAAGAGAGAAAAAGACAAAAGGAGAACAAGCTAAAGAAATGTCAAAATCAATTTAGTTTAAATTAAATTATTGAGAAAAGTCACGAGTTTTTTTTTTGAAAATGATGATCCACAATTAAAGTCGAACATATCATGTTACTCTGAAAAGGATTTTAATAAATTTGTGTTATACGAACCATCGTCTTCTTTGTCGTTTGTCTCATCGACTTCTGAAACATTTCCTTCACTGATGTTATCTTCTTCTTCTCTTATTGAAATATTAGGTGAATTCAAATCACTTCTGTCACTTGATGCACCGGTACTATTTCGACCATTTCCAGATTTGGATAAATTCAGTACTGGGCTGTGGCCGTTGGATGAAGCTCTTGGTGATTGACTTCGAACTTTGCCGTCAACATCACTATTTCGTTCTTCGTCACCCCTTTCATCTCGTAATCTGTCAATGACAATTAAATTACACGTTACAGATTCATATTCTTCTCTCAAATTATTTGAGTGTTTTTCCGATCATTAGCTTTCAAAATGTTACAATAAAATTACATTTTATTTCCTGCCTTAATATCTCCTTCATGATGACAAGAGAAATGAACAAAAGATATGAAAAATATGACAGATGGTGAGCTATTACATTATAATTTCTCAAATACTTTGCATAAAACAACATCAAATCCAATCAATCTTGAACTGCTCGTAAACGACAGATAAATTTTGGTGTGTGTCGAAAAGATGAAAAATCAAATTTGTTGCTTTTTTGCATATACATATATAAATTTATACGCGCCCTTCTCTTAATTTTATTGCCGTCAATCGTGTTTCAAACACAAGGAATAAAAAATAAACTTTAAAATTGCATGGTTCGTAACAAATATTGAGTAAATAGAAAATGAAAACTCTTCAGAAATCGTTCACCAAATCCATTTATCATTTAGATTTTAGTTATGAAGAAGGAAAATGTTCAACACTTGAGTATTTGACTTCATATCTGTGCCCACACTTGTCGTTATTCGTTTTTAAAAATCATCGTTCAAAGATTTCTATGGAAAAGTGGATAAAAGAGAGCATTTACCAATAGTACATTGGATTGAGAATATAATTTACATAAAATTTGTTTATGCTGATGTTAGCAGGATAGAAGGAATATCCCGGAAAATTACGTTGAATTTCGGTTTTTTCTTTCGATGTTAGGGTGAAAGAAGGAAAATATTTTAAAACCATTATTACTTTTTTCTTTTTGAATTTTATGACAAACGATTTTCTAAGGACGTCATCAAACTTGCATAAAATAAACTTGAGATATGGTTTGCAAAGATAACAGTGAAAACATCGTGACTTTGTTTCTAATCTCAAGACTAATGATAAATGGTTTCCAATAAAAATATGTTTGTGGCGTGAGCTCAGAAAGAATAAAATAAATGATCATTACAATAAATATGGTAGAAGGGAAGCTGAAACGATATCAAGTGGGTGGATGTAAGAGACAACAGAAGCTAAAATTATACATACCTTTCTAAATGCTTCACAATATCTTCGTAAGCTGCTCGACAATTTTCCCAAATTCCCGATCTAAACGAAGTTTATTGGTTAATGTAAAAATAACAAACTGAGTTTAAATTACCTTGTTATTGCTTCCATTCCTGACAAATTTTGATGACTTTTCATTATTGCGTTTTCGGGCCGAATGTGTGGAGGTATTCCAGGGTTCATCATTGATGCACTGTGATGTCCCATTTGCATAAATGGAATATGATTGAGATGTGTTGGCGGGGCATTGTAGCCGTTAGCCAATAATGGAGATTTATCCAAGCGGGAAATATCTATTTACATTGAGTAAAAAATATAGGGAACAGAAAGTTAATTGAATTCATGTCGAAACATATATTCCAACTCAATTTTCAAATGGAAAAAAGCGATATTCTCCATGCGTATTGAAATGAACAAAAAAAACAATAAAAAAAGCACAGGAAAATCCTTGAACAATCCGTTATTGTCATGACACGTCAACGACTTTCAAACAAAAATAATTTGTCATCCTCGACGTCTAAAATCAAAGTTGAGATGAATAAGAGAAAATGTGCTGCACATATGTGATTCGCATAATTTCGTCCAAAAACAAAACTTCTAACGATTATGTTTCGTCTTTTTTTAGGAATTATTGAAGTTTTTGTTTGATTTTTTACAGCTTCTGTTTGTAAAATGATTGATCACTTTCCTGTTATTTTTCTAAACTCATAAAGTTCCTAAGACATTAGGCAGATTGTGACATTTTTTATAATATTTGATCTATGTGAAAAACATGAGTTATTGCTGCCTTCCAGTATCGCAGAACGGAATTAATTTGAAATTAGAAAATACAATATTCAATGAAAATAATTCTGTTATGAATAATTCGCATTAATTTTCTTCCTGAAAAATACCTCAATCCAAAAAGATTAAAAATAGTGTCAAATTTTGAATAGCGAACGTGACTTGTGAAAGAAATAAAAGGTCATCAATCATTATTTTGACAAGAGTAGAAATATGTTTAGATAGAGTTTGAAATTACTTTAAACAGAAAGCAAATGTGCTGAGTAGATATATTAAAAATAATTACGATAATGAATTTACCCAAGGCTCAGTTCAGCTTAGGAGACAGTTCTTTCTTGCTAAATGTGTCAAATTATCAAATTTGAATTGTTTTACCAAATACTTATAACGATTAGCATTCATCATTCGTAACATTTATTTATAATCTTAGTGTAAGAAAAAAAAGCGAATTGTGATCATCGAATAAGCTGACACAAAGCAATAAGAATAATATGTTTTTAATAATCTGTTGCAAATGTTAAAAACATCTTTTATCGGCACCACTATAATCTTTGTGCAATTTCGCAAATGTGAGGATAAATCAATTATGTGTTTAGCGATGCAAAAGATAAATTCTTTCTAAATACTTATGGTATAAGATTAAATGTTTGCGAGTAATATTGCTGGCATTGTCCAATTTAAAATGATATATTTTGAATTTTCGATAGACCAATCTTCAGTGGTGCACAACTTTTTACAGTAAAATATTAGAAACATAATAAATTTGAGACTGATTATTTTTGGTAAGAGACCCAAAATGTAGCAAAATCTGATATAGAAAAAAGAATAATTTATAAAACAATCGAAGGGTCAAAAGCGCGAAAATTATTCCATCTTCTTTCGTTTTCTTTTCTCTTTTTCGTTAAATATTTAAAATACTAGAAATCATTAAAATGAAAAAATGCAGTTTAGTTTATGAAACTAAACATATGCAGGTAGAAGAAGAATAGAATTTAAGATTAAAACAAATTATCTTTTTTATTAAAGATTTTTAAATGCAAATATGATTTTGCGTAAGTCACGCGATTTTCATCATATACAATCGAATAATGAATACTATTATCTGAATTTGAAGTTGCTCGTGATTTTTTTCCACAATATGTTGGAAATTGTTTGGTTCTCGATCATTATCGAAAATAAAATCGTTGATAAAAGCGACTTTTTAGAATTTCTATAATGCTAAATATAACTTGCAGACAAGTCAGTTGCCGAAAGCAACAGAACATTCAAAATTGAGAAGTGTTTATCCTTTTTTATTTAAATATTCTAAGATGTTATTTAAATGAATTTTACATGTATATATTCTGCATATTTGATTATGTTTCTGATTATTGCTTTGAAACATTTTTTCCTTAAAAACGAAGTTAAAACAAAGAAATTATTTGATTGAAAAAAATCTTAAAAGCAAAGCAAAATGCTTCTCGAAGTTTCCGTAATCAATGTTTCACTGCCACGATGTTGAGCCATATTTTATTCTTTCGAAATGTAAAAGAAAAATAAAGAGTACTTCTTGAAATTGTTTCCGTTTACCAAACTACTTAAGAAATGGTACACTTTTTTTTTTCATATCTTAATTTCCTTTGTTATTGCACAAAAGAAACAAGAAATACGAAGCAGATGTTTGCTAAATGGGAGAAAATGTTAAAAGAAAAATAATAATTCCATTTTTTTTAATATGATGAGCATTAGTCCGTAAGTTCTAAAACATCCAAATATAATATAATGGTACAGATTTAAATCCTAACCATATCCAGAGTCGGTCCATTTAAGTCTTTGAAGATCGTCGATAATTTTATTTTGATTTGAATTGATGATAAATAAAAAAATCATACGAATTGATAATCAATTGTCAAGATTAATAATTTTAAAATTAATGATACTTGTTTTACCCTGGGTAAAATCTCTGTCGATCAGATTTTGCGGTTTAAGCTTTAAAGCATCTACCTATTCCATTGCTGTTTTAATTTCTTTTGTTGAAGTGAGACAGTAAAATGTTAAGGATCTTTGAACAAGTAAAGATACCGAACGATATGAATTAATATTTTTAGCTTCTGGATGACGAGTTGAAAAGAAAAACATCTCTTCTGTGAATTTAAACTCTCAAGGGTGCACCGAAATGAAACGTTTATGCAACATTTTTATTCGATTTTAGTTTGCCATTTGCTTAAATAACATTGTAAAAAGCTTCTTTCATATGAGTGCAATGTATGATTGCAATGTATTTAATTATTCTTTTCCAAGTAAATGCATCAATAAATTATTGAATGTTATTGCCCCTTTTGCTTCAAAGGCTTGTTTTATGATTCCATTTCATTTTAAATAATATATTTGTTGTTTCGGAATATATTAATATTTTTCGTTTTCAAAAAGCCTTGCCTTGGTAAAGTACCAATAACGTCATATTCTGATAAGCAGTTGAACTTGGATGATTGATAAATAAAATATTTTTTCTCATCAGGAAATGACAAGTCTGACAAACATGACATCATTTATGAATTTCCAGAATCATTGTAAAACATCATCATATCCCCTGAAAACAACGAAAAAGAAACTCAAAGAAACGTAACTCTCAAGGTAACTCTGTTCAGCTCAAATGGCAGAAGCAATGGCAAATAATCGTAAATTATAAAGTGATATTTTTATTCCTTTCTGGTTCTTTGTTAATTCATTCGTTTTGATTACTTTATATACAAATTTGTTGCAAATGTTGTAAAACCAAGGCTTAAATCTGAACTCAATTAAGAATGAAATATTTCACTTTTTCGGAGAAATGTTTAAAAAAGCAAGAAAAAAACATGAATTCTCCCATCGAAACTCTTTGATTCGATAATGAACTAAACTCATCGATAAATTCAGAGCCACATATCGATATAACAGATTAATTTAACAAATAAATGCATGCAGCTTTATGATTCTTGGATTGCTTCTAAAGAAATAAATAAAACAACTCACCAGTTATGTGTCCGTTTTCATAAGGATAATCGTTATCGAGACGGTGTTTTTTTATATGAGGATGGTGGTTTGCAATATGAGAGGCTGGAAGTGATAGGCCTACTGGTCCCCGCTTAGGTGGTCGTCCAGGTCTGGAACTGCAAAATAGTAGAGAGTCACTGTTGCCAAAAAAAAATATATCGTGTAAGATAAGGTTAATCCCTTTGTTTACGACATTCTTTTAACATTTTTTTCGATACTTTTGTGAAGCATAATTGTCGAAAGTTAATGATTTATTTCAAAAGATCAACGAGTCACAAGCATCAACCATTTTTTATATTTATTCACTGCATAGACTAAACTCACCGCTAGCAATAATCTGAGAGTTTCTTAGGTCGTAAAATCTAACAAAGTACGCAAAAAGGTCTTTAATCGAAAATTGAAAACGAAATGTCAAATATTTTTCCTGTTGAAAGAAGACAACAAATGAGAGCGTAACCCGAAAGCAAAAATTTTACGAAATCAAATCAAATAAAAAAAATATTGAATTTTTTAGCTTCTTTTCCTTTTAATTTTCTACTCAAATGAGCAATGAATTTCATTTTTATTATTATTAGTTTTTTTCTCGCTTCATCATATCTTGATATTTTTTTTATTATCGGTTTGCAGTCTTCACTTCATGGAAGATTTCATGTTGTAGTCGAGTGCTGTTTCCATTCACTTCACTCTCATGTTAAACGTTTTCTTTTCATCTTCGGTCTTTGTCGTTTGGTTGTTATTTTAACTTCACTCAATAATTTTTTATAGCGCTAATAATTTCTAGATAATATAGAGAGGAAGCAATGTGAAGCAGTATAAAGCAGGAGTTTTGTTGATAATATTATCACCAGATGCCTACAATGTCAAATTTAAAAAAAATTATTCGTGAAAATTAAAAGTGCAAATGATCCATGAAAAATTATCTTTCCTATGTAGGGAACAAACAAATCTTTATTATGTTGTATTATTAATGTCAATAAAAATCTTTCTTTTTGTATTGAACAGTCTCAACATTGTAAAAGGCGGTTGTAGAATACAAATGTGTGAGAAACAATGGAGTAAGGAATGCACAGGTTTCAATTAAATATACATTTATAATTTAAGGAAATAACCTCACATTTAGTTATTTACGGTTCATTTTATACTGGATGGCTTGTACCACCTTCCTTTACTTTGCTATTCGCACTTGCATATCCTTTTATTATATTACGACTTAATTAAACTGTAAGGATTTCTGTTTCGGCTTTCTTCTATAATAAGTAAAACTATAAATATTATTTATGATGTTAATAAATTTCCCTCGAAGAAATTGAGAGATCTTAGAAAATTGTAGAAAAATATGTGTTTTCGATTAAGTTCTATCACGACCCTTTTTGCTGCCAATTTAAGCGGGTAAATTTTCCGTCCTCTAGGCGTTTTCTTTAAGAAATATTTTCCGGTCATTATATTATAAATTGAATATCATAAAAGGGTTGAATAGAATGCAGAAATAATGCATGTTGAATAGTCAATTCCATCTAATTGAAATCATAAGCATTTCCATTTATTTTAACATTTTTTTGATATAACAATAGACAAATTTTGTCTGCTACGATTCAACTATTTGTCAACTATGACATAAGACACTTTAAACATGATCAATGTTTATACTTACATCTAAATAAAGAAAAAGAGATCTACGAGATAAAATTTAAGAAGCTTGTATGGAGAAATCTAAATTGTGTACAGCAATATTCTTAACGAGAAGAATAAAACACTGTGGGAGATTATTCATTTAACCAACATTTCGTTTTGTGATTTCAGAAAGATTCTCATTCATAAGTTTAGGATCGTAAAAGACTCATAAAAGCAATTATTTACTAAACGTTTTTGCTACCACATTTAATTTAGTTTTATTTCGTTCTATTTTCGATGCGGCAAAGCATGTTTGTATTTAGCTTGATTAAATAGTAAAGCGAGTAAAAGAAAATATTATTTAATGTATCGTTGTTTGCCAGACATGTCATCATAAATTTACTGATAAGAGTGATAGATAATGGTTTTTATTGTTGCACCAACTAACCTATTAAGTGCTATTGTATTACGAGGGTGTTGTGTTGGTTTTTTCAAAGTTGAGAAAAAAACACCACATTAATAATATCACAGAAAATGTACAAGAATAAGAAAATTCGATTTTACACTGTATAAAAATTCGTTGTTCTTTTTTATTTTAACTTATGTTCAGCTGGCGACTCTTTTGTATCATTTTGGTACCGCAAATTAATTAAGAAGACCTGATAAAGATTCTTATCAAATTTCATGAAGAAATAAAAAAGGAATAAGACTAAAGAAGAATCAAATTTTAGCGATTTTCTGATTCATGCTCGTATTATCGGAAGCCTGCACACATATTAATCAGGCGCCATTCAGTTCTCGTTATTCGAATTATCTTCTCTCCTGAAATAGCATTGTTAAACAATTTCTTGTCGCGTTGTGTGAGAACAAGTGAGTTCAGCAAACGATTAAGCATTAATCTTAAGCATGAAAAAAGAATGAAAATGTAGACTTCGAACATAATTAAAACGTTCGCCTTCAAAATGACTTACTTTCTATTCTTTGATTCTCACAGATGATTCAAGTTTTTTTTATATATATGTAAGTATTAGGTTTTTTCTATGGCGAAACGAATCTTAATTCGTTACGGTTTTTTCAATTCAAGACAACAATTATAAATTGTACCTTTCAAAATATGATGATCAACGTGAATCTCATATTTGAATTAAAACAATTGAATCAATAAAAAGTTGTGGAATTTGAAAGAACCACATAATCATTGAATTATAACAAAAAAAGAAAGAAAAAATAAGTGAGAAGAGGAGAAAGAGGGAGAAAAGATATGTTGGTTGCTAACCTTAAATGAATGCTTCGTATCATATCGTTTTAGAGACCGCCAAATTAGGTATTATTTTGAAGTAATTCATTTCATGTTTTAAATTTAATTCTAGAGAAAATCTGGAGATAAATCAAACGAACTAATATTGAATTAAATCTTTAATAATCTTCATAGTTGATTCGTACAATAATAGGCAGCAAGTAGCAGACAGCTAAATGTATTCAAATCAGTGAATGATTAGGCTTTTTTATTATGTTTACTCTTGAAGAAAATAAATATCAAAGAAAGGTACAACATTCAAATTCTATTATGCTTTTGTGTTCTTTTCTCTTTTGACTTTCAACTATTTATTAATTTTTTTGTATATTTTCTTCTATGTATTCTATTGTTGGACTCGATACCGACAAAAGAAAATCACTTTTACAAATATCTAACAATATTGAGTGGATGTGAATACGTTATGCGAATGATTTCTTTACAAACGATTCGTGTATATCTAGAGTTTAACAAGCTGTTATACGATACGAAAGATTTTTTTTATTACTTTTTCTCATTTAAACTTTGATATGGTGCTCGATGACTTTTATTTCTTTTATTTGAAATCTTTGCAAATAATTATAGAATAATTGTGTAAATATTTGTGGTTTAGAATAGATAATAAGTGAATATAATTAAAGAAACAAAGAAGTATCAAATAACTACTTTTGCCATTTCTTGGAACAGTGAATAGTATTTTATAATTTTATATGTAATATCAAAATGTCTATTCCCATTTATTGATAATATTTCTATTTTTTTTCGTAAAAAATCAACAAAGACTATCAAATGGAGCAAAAATGATATAACATATTAAAATAGAATCCAAGTAGATATCCCGATACGGACCCTTATCAATTAATTAATTTTCAATGACACGACATTTTCTAGGATTTTATTTCTTTCAAGACATTCTCAGATTACAGAAGAGAAAATCCCTTAGGAGAAAATTTTGTTGTTTTAAATATATAAGACTCGGATCGCAAGCTAAAGGGAAGAAATTTTTGGGCAATAAAACACATGTAATATCTGGTTGCGGAAAATTTTATGATTTCTCAGTCCCTTTGAAATACTTCTGTGGAAAGAAGTTTTAAAACCCTTCCGAAATAAAGCGAATTACTTCTATCTTTGCCTTCCTGTAATTTAAGGGTGGATTTGTTGTTAAACTGCAACTGGTTTGAATTTTCTTTTGTTAAATGTTTTCTCTTGCTTGAGTTCTGTACCTTTGTGGGGGTGAAAATAACAATATGAACAACAAAGATATTCAATTTCAAATAGCATTTTGCTGCCTCGCCATGTCTTGTCTCATTACGTATGAAAACATTATTAGGATGAAAACAATTTCATATTGTTACATCCTTTAAATTTTATTTTCTTGCCCCTCTCGGTCGAAACTATAGATTTAAAAGGAGAAAAGGGTTTGAAATATAAATACTATATGGAACCAGAAAGAATTGCATTTCATATTTAATAAAAGAGAAGAAAGAACACAAGATATTAAATGAAAGATGTTAAAAGTTTTGCAGAAAAAGCCATTTACATATTAAATTACCTATTAAATAAATCATGACAAGTTACAAATGTTTCTTACGAAAGAAAATTATGTAATTTTAAATCAAGAAGCTCTTCGACAAATCACATTGATTTTAAATATGATTTATCAAAAGTTTTTTTTTCACGCTATTTCATATCTAAATGATGAAATATAAAAGGGAAATACTTTATTTTGTTCTTTGTGTTTCTCATTCGAAGAAAATGAGAAATAATAAACTGGAAAAAAAGAAGCGAAAATGCTTTTAAAGAAGAAATCATTAAATATCTGTGTGTCTATTAATATTAATAGACACAAAGGGGAGCAAATCGGAAGGATGGTTATGAAAGATTGAGGCCGAAGTTCACATCATATTAAAGGCAATACATTCCGCACTGGAAAGATGAAATAATGATAAATGAACGATTTAATTTAAATGAACTTCTGTTTTTCCATTTCGTTTTCCTTCTTCGCTTTTTTTTTGTATTTCACCATGAAAATTTATGAACGTTTATATTTTGATATTATGAGGTTTGTGCTTTTCGTTTTGAAGTCATTTTCACTTCGCTTTTAATTTCTTTTACTTTCGTCTCGTTTCGAAGAGTCTGAAAAGTGTTTGATGATCATAAAAAAACATAATTACATTGAAGCATATGTATGTATCAGATATAAAGATACAATTTTAATAATGAAAACATTAATTTATTAATAGTGGCCTTACCAGGGAGAAGAGACAGACACGCGTATAACAAGAAATATTTCGTTTCAATAATGTATGATGAAATATTTAATTTGAAACTCTTGAATATTTAATTTGTTTCCTCATTCGTTGTAAAGCCAAGAATTTTGAAGTGAAATTGTGCTGGAAACATGTCTGTGCAAATAAAATGGGACTTTTTTAAACATTATTTACATACAATTGCGATGTTCTATTGTAGTTCATTATTTGTCAGTGTCACGCAATAAAAAAAAACCGCCAATATTATGAATATTAACACACACACACCAGTTTTTATCCACAGAAAAAAGAATACAGTAAGCGTTCATATTATGACATATGAATATGAAAAAGTGTCTGAAGTGGTAGAACAAGTGTTGACACATTTTACAGAATAAATTGACTGACAATGAAACATTTCGTCATCCAATTACTGAATATTTTAAACTTCAAACATGGAGTTCACAGTACTAGTTACCCTATATTTATCCCTTGTTAAGCTATATTCCCCTTACCTGGTGTTGCCGTAGTGTGAAGAAGGATTTTTTTTGCTTCACGCTTGCTTTGTTATCGTCGAGTAGACAACATTGTTGGGGTAGCTATTTACACCTCCCGAAGTGATATTTTGAAAAAGAAATGTTTGCAACATTCTGTGTTTCAAAAAGCATGGATCTTGTTATGAGATATGTTGGAAAAAAATTCACACACCTTTACGTCCAAATTTTCTTCATTGCAATTTGCAAAAGATTCAGAGATAGCGAAAGGTTTTCTTTATATATTACGAGAAACTTCTTAACGAGAATATGTAGTCATGTTTACAGTAGTATGTTTAAAGGACTAAATTAAAAAGAAAAGCCCGAGAAAAAGCTAAATTCCCAAGTGTTAACTAAACTTCGATAAATCTTTTCATTATCTAATTCCCTCAAAATCGTCATATTTCTATATATTAACCCAACGATAAAAAATTAAATGTAACAAAGATTCCAACTGCTCATCATGTATGAATTATATAATATTCATAACAGATTTTTTTTATTTGTCTTCTATGCCATCAGAATGTACATATGTAATTGAATGAATTTTAGTTAAATTTGCAATAAGATAAGTTCTGCTAGTTTGTATTTTATGTCATTTTTATAATATCACAGGCATATTGCATGCAAGCTTTTATCTTTCATTTAGGAGTAAATATTGTTTAATTAAGAGTGAATAGAATAGGAAAACGAAGAAAAAGAAAAATAACAAAAAAAGAGCATTTCACATAAGAAAACTTTTCCGTTCATCGTTACGGAATGCTTTCTCACTGATTCTCGTTCTGCCTTTTTCATCACACTTCATTAATTTCAACATCTTTCTTCTAACACTTACTAAATAGATAATTAATTCGACATAGAATCGAAGAAGAAAAGATAACAGAACTCTTGTTAGAAAATTGGATGTGATCGTTATGCCTGCGATATTTTTTTGTCTCATTTGTCTCATGTGTGATATGTTCCCTAGGTGCTACACTGATATTCTATCTACTGGGTTGAGAAATGATTTTTTTTCTATTAAACCTGGCTTATGTGGCTCAATGACTTTTTAACACATTAAAATATTCATTAGTTTATCGATTTTTCAATCAGACACGGAGTGAGCAGTGAGATGTATTTGTATGAAAATGTTGTTTCTCTTTACATAGTTTTATGCACAGTAGGGGTGTTTACGCCTCTCCATCATTAAAAGGAGTTTTCAAAATTTTAGAAATAGTAATTAGACGATCACAAGGCCGCAATGAAAAAACGTCTTTAAATATGTATTCTGCCAATAAATTAAAAAAAAAACGGAAAGCTCATCAGCTAATCGGATGCCATCAAAATAAATTTTCATTTACGAAAACTCTCGAATATTACGCTATCGATTTATAAAATCGTCTATTTATACTTAATATTAATTTGTGCAAAACTTGCGTTATTGAGTGGTTATTGCTCTTTGCGCAACTCGATCAGTTCCGTTGTGGCCTTTGAGTTCAGAATGAATTATAATCTTGAAAACGATTCATACCTCTCGGGTGGCTTAATTGATAAACATCTGAAATTAGAAGAAAAAGATCGTAGATACTTTCAATGAAGCCATTTGCAAGTGATAATTTTTTTATTTCTACATAATCAACATTAAACATCAAAATCAACAAAACAGAAAAATAATTATGAATGCAAATTTAATGTAAACATAAAGTAGATGTTCACTTTTATTTAAAAAATTCAGTAAGAGAATGGAAGATTTTCTTTTATAAAAATCAGCCAAAAGTGAATTACTAGATCTCAAATCATTATCTTCTTTTCAACATCGCTATAATGTTTATCCGTAATTTTTATTGAACTTCATATTAATGAATTGATGTAACATCCAATGATGATAGTTTTAACGCTGAAGAAAAAATATAATCACTAGAAGCTAAGAAATCCATGTCTAATTGGAACTTCGATTCTTTGATTAGCTTGATGGCTGATGAACTCGATATAGTTATGTTCATTTTATCAGGTGAATAGCATCAAATCAGCCTAACCGCTAGTCTATTGATCTTTTGTTATTCCCTTTCTTCTAGTCAAAACCACACAAAAATCGAATTAGAAATTCATTAGTGATCATTGAGAATTAGAAGCATGAAACAGAGTTCATGAATCAACCATCAATAACAGAAAGAAATCATTAATCAATAAACGAGATCTACACTGGCCAAAATAGGTTTTAGAAAATATATTTAATCCGAATTTGTAAAAAAATGGAGTTTAATAAAAAAAATTAATAAAATATGTAGATTTAAACTCAAACTAATTGCTTTTCATGAAAAAAATTAAAATTTAAAAAGACGCTAAAAATTTTTACTTTTAACAATACATAACTGTAAGATTATTTTACAATTCTTCTAATTGATTATTATTAAATACTTTTTGCTTTGTTGCTTAACCATGTGAGACAAAGCCATAATTTTAATTTATTTAGGGCTTAGAGTTTAATGAAAAAATTTAAATACTCGAGGAAGCATTTAAAATTAAAGAGAAAATTTATAAATTATGTTGATCATCAACAGCACACATCCTAGAATATTTCTTCTCACATCATATTTAAAGCGATCTTCATAAAGAACTTTATCCGTCACGAGCAACCTTGTAATTACACAAACGTTCTTTACATATCCCTGATCTTCCCACTCGACCTATCATTTGAGTTGAGTTTAAATTGATTTTTGACCGTTCAGATATGTATCTGCTGATGAACGTTGAGCCGTGAATAAAAATAAAAATGAGTTTTGATTTAAAGAGTCATAATCCCTTATTACGGTTTTTAATTTCTCTCTTTTTTTACATATTTAATTACAAAAAAAAAAGGTGAAATGGAAATAAAATAAATAAAAATAAAACAAATTGGAATCTTAAAAGCGTATAGAATCATATTGATGTTTGCTTTATTCATGAAATATTGCCATGTCACTGTGATGGGGAAGATTTTCTAAAAGTAGATACCGCTCGATGTACGCGCCTCTCCACAGAATAAAATTCGCTTCTTATTTAAATGCTGTCGAGGTGTGGAGGAATCAGGGGGCTGGCAAATTGTCTTTCGCTTTCGTTTACTTTATTCCAATGGACAATGATTGTCTGTTGGTCTTTTGTGTCCGAGATTCTATTTCACACCAAATCATTTTGAGATAAAGAAAAATCAAATCAATAGTTAATTGTTCTATCTGCGTCGTGATTTCAAAGAAGCTAGTTTTGACTCTCTTTTATGAAACTTTTTTAAATTTCATTTCACTTCTTCAAAGACTTAAAAAAGTCAATAGTCATTACATACAACGAACTTAGTTCTCTTCACTCTTTTTGCTTCCTACCAATTTTATTTGCTTTCTTTCAATCGCCTCTAAACACTTAGATATCGAGAAACATACGAAACGAACATTTGTTGAAAATAATAATTATTTCATGACTCAAATGCACTTTAGTAGAATTGCAATATGCTGAGTTACTTTCAACTTGGTGATACTCATACGGCAAGATACAACTAAAATTATATTCGTGATTATATATGCAAGTAGTCGTAAAAATGTGCATTCAGCTACACAATAATATCTATTTAATCATGGTTGGAAATTTGTAAGTATATTGATGAATATAAAATTCGCAAGGTAAAAAAAGAATATTGAATGTATACATAAATTACATAAACAACTGGTTATTGTATTTACGAATGCATTGGAATATCATTTTGGGCTGTTTTTAATTTGAAATACGTGAAGACTTTATTCCACCATGAAACTTATGCGCTGTGTTTCAGTAGAAATCCCTTCATCAGTTGCTACTACTTAACTTTTCAGCATTAATAAAAATGAAAACAAAAGCAAAACAAAATACAAAAATATAACGTCGAAAGATTTAAAAGCAGCAAAACGTTTTGCAATTGAGAAAAATGATCAATAAATCTGCAAAACCACACCTCTTCAATTATTATTATTTTTCTGCTCTTCGAATATAATTTCCTCTGCTTCGTCAGAGAATCTTATTAAATATCTTTTATTTCTTGCAATAATGTTGAAAAACTTATGAATCTTAAAATTGTTTCATGAATTTCAAGTCATTAAGCTCAGTTTAAGAAAATTAATATCGATTAATGTAACTGAATTTATCGAGTTATTTTTTCAATCTATACTAATGCATATCATGTATGTAAATATTGATCGTTGAAAAATGTCATTTATACATAATCTTTTTTCTGTAAAATACTGTTTTCAACAATTGTGTGTCAGTCAACATTACTGTAACTCTTAATGGTAATTTTTTATCATCACCGGCTGATATGTATAAAAAAGATAGAATTCTAAATTCTTACATTGAAATATAGAACGGATATTATGCAATCAATAAGAAATATTTTTAATCACTTTTGAAGTAACTTAGGAGTTAAAAAAGTTATTGAGCAATATTCTGAATGTGTTTATTGTAGTTTTGATTATAAAAATCTGTTTTCATAAATAACAGAAATGAAAATTGTATGGAATATGAAATTTCTACATGCGTTTCCGATACCAATCAAACGTTTCCGATACCAATCAAACGCTTTTTTCTTATTGGAACTTCTTGTTATTCAATTTCAATAAATTGACTTTTGATACATTATACGTATTCTCGTGATTACAAAAAATTATATCGAAACTTTGACAATAAGTAAACACAAGGATAACTTTTCAAGCCATGCTATTTATTTATGTTATAATTTTTAAAATTGTTCATGTGAAAACAACAAGGTAAGTGCTTATTATACGAGAGCCTCCATACGCAATGAATACGACGAAATGATATATTTAATTGCGTGCAAAAGCTTTTCCGTTTGTTTCAGAACTACAATCACATTCATATTTGTGAAGTTCATTTTTTAAGTATATCTTTGTTCATCAGAACAAGCTGTTGAAAATGTTTGTCATTTTTTTTATCTTAATGAATAAAAAATTGAGCAATGATCAGTGTAAGTGCGGTCAAGAAATGTGTGTGCGTTTCAGTCAAAGCGTATTTGATTATCGTTGCATTGAATGCAATGAAAAATTAAATAAGTTCACAGCATTTGAAAAGCAACCACAAAAAACGCAAACGTAAAATAAATATTTAAAGTTCATAACAACTGAAGTTTTTTTTCTCATAGCCACAGAAGCATTCGAAACAAAAAAAATTATGCATCGCAAATTGTTTAAATAGTTATGACGAATTTTGTGGTATCCCCTTTTTTCGTGTGTTTTTGTTTGCTCATCTTGTAGTCTGTTTAAAATTTTGTCTAAATAACATGACTAAATATTGTACATATTGCGATGCGTCTGTTCGTGAGATCTAAAATCGCGCACTTATTTTTAGTTTTTTATCTTTATCACAATCACTAGTTTTTGGACTAAGCAATACTCATTCGGAGGCAAATGGCTGAAAGAAGATCGAAAATATTGAAAATAAGAAGATTGAGAATTATCATGTCAATATGTATATTTAATAATACCGAAATTCACTCTAATTAATTCCAACCATCTCGTAAAATTAAACACAACGTTTACTTTTCATCGTGCTTACGCGAACATAACTTTGTATAATATTTCATCAATGAAAATAAATACCGCGCATGTATTTAGACATTATCAAAAATTCTCAACTTTTTCTGCCGTTTCATTTAACGAGAACATCAATAAAGGGTTTGATGGGCTATAACTACGATTTAATTTACTTGCGCTACCATTACTATTAATACATAATAATTACAAAACGAACAATAAGCCTTGTTTTCATATGACAATGATTTTCCATCACATTGCCGTGTCCACTTTCGATGAATATCTATTTTATTTGTTTAAATAAACTCAAAAAAAAATTAAAAAATTAATAGGTAAATTCATATGCAGAAATTATACATGCATGGCCCCTTTTAAAACCAATTGGGCGCCTCTTTGTGAAAAATATTATGCATTTAATTTTATCTCAATTATAATATTGAGTTGCCGTGTTTGTGGTTTCAGCTTTTAAACCCTGTTATGGGTGCATCGTGTGTGAGCTGAATATATTCAAGCCATGTTTATGATTCGTTTCCAGAATGTTTCATTGTGTAAACAATTTTTTTGGAAATTGATGCAATTGTGCAAATTTTTGTGCGTATGGAATGAAAACAATAATAGCTTAATGTCATAATTTTATGAGAAAGATGATTTGAAAATTAAAACAAACATTTGTAGTTAAAATTACTTTTGAATACTGGTAAATAACAACTTATAAAAGATAATATCGATAAATACTGAAACACATTGTTAACCAAACAGCCACATTATAATAAGGTTTGATAAATTATTTATATCTTTAATGAAGATGAACGTAAAAACTTCAATAATTATTATCTACTTAACCTGATTCATATGAATAATTAAAACAAAGAGATTTTATCTTACATTCATTCTGATAATAAAACAGATAGAAAAAATTATATGCTGGTTCATATTTCTAATCATCTATTTGACAAAAGACAGAAATCGAATTCAGTGTAGGTAGTTAATTATAATAAAGAATATTGAAAAACAATTCGAAGCACAATTGTATTTAATTGCCCATAAAATTATGAGCCCATCATTGATTATTCAGGGGTAGAAGATATTAAGTGAATGAGTTGCAATTGTATCGCGTCAACCGCATTAGATATCGCTTTACAACAGTAAATTGAACGGCCTAAATTGTACAACGATTTAAAAGGGGATTACGATCAATTTAAAAGGGGAAAGGGAAAGTGTGAATAGTTGAATATAAGAAAAAAATTCAACACACATTCCATTAGCGAGAGTATCGCCCGCACAATGATATCAGATTTCTCGACCACCGTGTCTTCCTACTACAAGTCTGACGTTCAACACAAAAGAAAATTAGTAAATGAAGATTTTATTTTCAATATCCTCATTAAATTTTCAAGAAATAAGTAGTAATGATTAGACCTATCTCATTGCGATCAAGTATTGCTCAAAACTTAACAGTATTTAATTGCTTATCAAGACTGGAGATTTTTTTAAACGGTATTTTGTTATTGATTTTTTTCATATAACCAAAAATCTATGATTCTCTTAAGGCTTTTATTTAATCCAATTCTTCATGCTTCATATCTGCTCATCTAATTTAATTTTTATTCTCAAGCAATTATATGTCTGAGATCCCTTTGCATATTTTTTGTTCGCCACATCAAACCTATGTATAATCTTTGATGAACAAATTATTTTTTATAATGCGGATCAATTTGCATATTAACTGCTGATTTGTTTACGACGGAAGAAAATTCACAACACAAAAGAAATTCAACGTGAAATTAAGACAAATAAAAATTAATTGTGCAAAGAGAAAAAAAAACATTTAATAAGAACATATTGCAAATAGATGTATGATTGACGTACCTGGCTGTTGTGCAGTCTCGATAAAGTACGTCAAAATCCTTACATGCCAATAGTTTACACCTATTAACACCGGGTTGAATTGCACCGAGGCCTCGTAATATTCTTACTTGTTCGACATTACACACCAAAGGTACAATATCTAATCTTTTCAATTTCGTATATACTGTATGCAGTCCACCAACAAGATGTTTCAGGAACAACTCAAACGCTTGCGGCAGACAAAGCATAGTTTCGCCTTGAATCATAAAAGCTGCTACTTTTTGGCCACGATAATCAACAAGTTTGCATTCGTTGGCTGTTGGATCGGAACTGCTAATAGGAGGCGGACTGTTATATGATCGCGGTGGAACATGATGATGTGCAGCTGCCATTAGATCCAAAGGACTAGCATGGTGCATGAATGAATTCAGAAGTCCCAAACCATGAGGTGGAAGATGAGAGAAGCTTTGAGCCATTCGAGTTTGCATTCCAATCAAACTATTAGGCGTTGACACTTGCGGTGGAGTTAATGGATGGGGCATTGGTAACATTTGTGGACCAACACTCGTTAGTGCTAATGGACTGTGTGGAGTGTCACGTAATATTCTTGAATCTCTTGTTGGTGGCTGCGGTGAACAAGGCGTTGGTGTTCGAGTTTTATCGTGTGAGTTATGACGAGATCCACTTGAACCGTGGTGGCCAGAATCGTTATGATGTCGTGGTGAATGATTTCTTAAATTATGAACTGAATCGTTTGATGATGCGACACTATGATCACTCGTTGTTGATAACGAATCCATGGCTGAGTCTTTACTCATAATATTCTTTAACTCGTATTATTTCTTGTTCAAGTTAGATTTTTTTTTGTAAATATCTAAATAAATATATGTAGTGTTTTATGATAATTTATCACATTCTTATTAAATCAATTATTGAAGAAATATTTTTAAATCTTTACACAATATTGATTTATCGTATTTTCTTTTCGATTTCAGAACACTCTTCACAACCGACCTGAACGCGATACGGACTCCGAAACGATTGCAATACGAATTCAAATTTGAAATAAACAGAAAGGGATTTTTTTATTTAGTTAAAGATATTCGATTCGTATTTTTATGTTCTTTCTTCTACGTTTAACACACTCCCGATCGTCGACTGATTGTGTCGTCTTTACATCCATTAACATACACATTCGAACACAAATCGAATTCGACAGAACGAAATGAGGAAAAATTAAAAACGGCAAAAAAGGTACAAATTGTACACATCACCTTCATTCAACAGTCACACGAATAATAAAATTCTCTCGAAAAATACTACACACCAAACGCAAACGAATGTATAACTGATGTTTTTTTCTTCTTTTGCTTCTTTCTGTAGATGTGCTTCATATATTTCCCTTTCACACAACTGTATTTGTTCTGTTATCCGAGCTTTTTGTATTTTATATTTTTCATTCTCATTTCACATACATGTGTACTTTTGAAAATTGGTGAACGAATCAGAGTACATATTGAAACTGAAATGAAAATATGAAATAAGGTGTGGATTTCTTGCAATTCATTTCCATTTCGAATGTTTGTAGTATTGGTTAAAGATTATTATTATTATTTTTTTCACAAGTGTGTATATATATTTTTTTTTACTATTCAACTCAGCACGTTGAAATGTTCGAAAAAGCTTTTGAAGTCATGCGCTTTTCTTTCATGAGAAAACTCTCACAGAAATAGTACAAAAATAGAAAGAAAACTGTTTTTTCTTTGCAATCAGATTGAATAATAACAATGATTTGCTCTGAGTGGGCGTGTTGTCTCTCTTGGGCCTCACATCATCATCAATTTATTGAGGGCGGAGCCATAAGAAAGAGCGATTTCCGGTTATTATTATGAGAAGAAAATTTGATCAGAAAATAAATGCAAAAATATTTTTGTATGAAATTGACAATATATAAAATGTGTATTAAAATTTAATTTCAGTTAAATTTATTATTATTTCTTTTTTACAATGTTGGTTGTTTCTCTTAACTTTATTCTAGTGGTTTTATGTGATCGACAATATTGTATTTAAAGTAGATTAAGAAAAACTTCTTGCAAGACGAGGAAGAAAGGAAGATGAAATAATTCAAACATATAATTTTTATGTTGCGGGGCTAATTTCTACCTCAGAAATTTTTTGAAAAAACTTTATTTTATCATTGTTCTTTGTTTGAAAGGATTGCTATAATTTTTTCCTTTGCCGAAATGGTTTTAAAATTCTCCACCACTTCATCATCATCAGAGTTTTACTATTCAACATATTTAATAAAATATCAGATACTAATAAGTAGATATAAAGTTTCATTATTGAATGAGATTCGCGTCTCATCCTAAGGCATTGCTGAGAATTTTATTTATAATTTCAAGATGTCCACCAATAATTCTTTAAGCAATACTTGAAAAGTGTTGAATGGTGATGCATTTTGTGGCTTCAAAAGAAGGGTTTTAAGATTTTCTACTCATTCGAAGTTCAAAATTCCGGCAGAAGCTTTTATCATAACTCCAAAGAAAGTTGCAAATCAGGAATTTTATTCTTTGATCGCTTTAAGTTATAAATACATTTTTTTTCATAAATGTTTTTCTTTACAATAAATTAAAAGTTTTTCGATTAAACTTATGAAAGATATTTTTTCTTAAGATTTTACATTCATTAATCGCGTGTTATGATGAAGTTTTTTTTTCTTTCTTTTTTTAACAGAAATTATTGTATTTCATTCATATAGCTATGTATTTATTTGAAAGGATTTTAATTTTTTTTTATATTAGAAACCTTTCGGCTGTTTATCGTTATATGTTTATTGTCATCAGTTGTTTAAATTAAGATGGAATTCTTCAAAAATAATGGAATACTTCAACTTTGGTTATTGAAAATAAAATATTCAGCATAAGAAAGTAAGTAAACTCCCTACGTAATCTCTCTTAGATAATATTTTTAAAATGAATCAAAAAGTTCCTTGAGATTACTATGTTTAAATATTAATATTTTGTAGAATACATGTTACCCTTTTTTTTCAAATTTTTCTTTCTTATAGATAAGTATGAAGTAATTTTCAAAATATGTATATAAAAGAAATTTTATGCTTATAAACTTACAATTTGCTAAAACATAAATCTAACTATTTCAGCCAACAAAAATAATTCCAGACGCCACATTACTATTTATGTATGCAATACAATTAAACCATCTTCTTCAACCTGAACCTTTAAACAAAAGACATCAAATATAAAATTACGTATTTCATTTTATGTTTCATGATTGAAATCAAGGAGATCATGAAATTATGTAGCTTTTATTTGATGTTTTTGTGAAGTTTTTATTTTAGAGATCATTTACGATTCAATAGTAACTCCGCCTCAAACAAATCTTAATATGGTGTGAGGTGACATTCACCCGCTCAATAACAAATCGAAAATTTTTGTTGAAATGTTTTGTAATTTCTTTCTATTTTATATGTAAACCTAGTTTTATTTTTGGAATCCTCAAAAGCGCATGATTTTCGAATGATAGAGAAAGCTTTCACTTCGGTTTAAAAACAGATGTGTATACACACAGAAGGAAATCGTTCGCACATTTTCCCGACAAAACGAACGCTGATCGGTTTCTAGTGTGCAGCAATTGAATAAAAGAAATAACAAAGCAGTTCATCGTGTTAAAGAAAAGAAAAAAAACATCCTTAACCAATACTACAAACATTCGAAATGGAAATGAATTGCAAGAAATCCACACCTTATTTCATATTTTCATTTCAGTTTCAATATGTACTCTGATTCGTTCACCAATTTTCAAAAGTACACATGTATGTGAAATGAGAATGAAAAATATAAAATAAAAAAAAGCTCGGATAACAGAACAAATACAGTTGTGTGAAAGGGAAATATATTAAGCACATCTACAGAAAGAAGCAAAAGAAGAAAAAAACATCAGTTTATACATTCGTTTGCGTTTGGTGTGTAGTATTTTTCGAGAGAATTTTATTATTCGTGTGACTGTTGAATGAAGGTGATGTGTACAATTTGTACCTTTTTTGCCGTTTTTAATTTTTCCTCATTTCGTTCTGTCGAATTCGATTTGTGTTCGAATGTGTATGTTAATGGATGTAAAGACGACACAATCAGTCGACGATCGGGAGTGTGTTAAACGTAGAAGAAAGAACATAAAAATACGAATCGAATATCTTTAACTAAATAAAAAAATCCCTTTCTGTTTATTTCAAATTTGAATTCGTATTGCAATCGTTTCGGAGTCCGTATCGCGTTCAGGTCGGTTGTGAAGAGTGTTCTGAAATCGAAAAGAAAATACGATAAATCAATATTGTGTAAAGATTTAAAAATATTTCTTCAATAATTGATTTAATAAGAATGTGATAAATTATCATAAAACACTNAATAAAATTCTCAGCAATGCCTTAGGATGAGACGCGAATCTCATTCAATAATGAAACTTTATATCTACTTATTAGTATCTGATATTTTATTAAATATGTTGAATAGTAAAACTCTGATGATGATGAAGTGGTGGAGAATTTTAAAACCATTTCGGCAAAGGAAAAAATTATAGCAATCCTTTCAAACGCAAACAAAGAACAATGATAAAATAAAGTTTTTTCAAAAAATTTCTGAGGTAGAAATTAGCCCCGCAACATAAAAATTATATGTTTGAATTATTTCATCTTCCTTTCTTCCTCGTCTTGCAAGAAGTTTTTCTTAATCTACTTTAAATACAATATTGTCGATCACATAAAACCACTAGAATAAAGTTAAGAGAAACAACCAACATTGTAAAAAAGAAATAATAATAAATTTAACTGAAATTAAATTTTAATACACATTTTATATATTGTCAATTTCATACAAAAATATTTTTGCATTTATTTTCTGATCAAATTTTCTTCTCATAATAATAACCGGAAATCGCTCTTTCTTATGGCTCCGCCCTCAATAAATTGATGATGATGTGAGGCCCAAGAGAGACAACACGCCCACTCAGAGCAAATCATTGTTATTATTCAATCTGATTGCAAAGAAAAAACAGTTTTCTTTCTATTTTTGTACTATTTCTGTGAGAGTTTTCTCATGAAAGAAAAGCGCATGACTTCAAAAGCTTTTTCGAACATTTCAACGTGCTGAGTTGAATAGTAAAAAAAAATATATATACACACTTGTGAAAAAAATAATAATAATAATCTTTAACCAATACTACAAACATTCGAAATGGAAATGAATTGCAAGAAATCCACACCTTATTTCATATTTTCATTTCAGTTTCAATATGTACTCTGATTCGTTCACCAATTTTCAAAAGTACACATGTATGTGAAATGAGAATGAAAAATATAAAATACAAAAAGCTCGGATAACAGAACAAATACAGTTGTGTGAAAGGGAAATATATGAAGCACATCTACAGAAAGAAGCAAAAGAAGAAAAAAACATCAGTTATACATTCGTTTGCGTTTGGTGTGTAGTATTTTTCGAGAGAATTTTATTATTCGTGTGACTGTTGTTTAGAGGTGAAGTGTATAAAAACGATTGCTGTGAGGCACTTAAATATTAACATTTTTCTTTAATAAGAAGCGCTAAGTTGCACTCATTGTGTTTGTGCATTTTAAATATGAATTATAAAATATTTTGAAAAATATTCGGAAATTCTCTTATTCACAAATTCTTATTTGAAATAAGCCAAAAAATTATTTATATTTGTTTTAAAATATGAAAACAAGTTAAAAAGACTTATTAAAAGAAGCTGTGTACATGGAAAAAATATTATTCTGAATAGATTTGGTTACAGAATAAAATTGAAATAAGAATGTTGCCAATGATGAATCAACGTCTTCCTCACATGCCGCCGCATCACAGTCTGGGATTATTAAATTCTTTTATTCATCATGCTAGTCCTCTTGACCTCATGACTGCACATCATCATGATCATCCACCAACCCGTACCTACAACACTCAACCGTCCTTTGTTCCTGCAGATCCTACCGAAAATGAATGCAAAATTGTTGAATATCGCGGACAAAAAGTGGCTGCATTTATCATACAGGGAGAAACAATGTTATGCTTGCCACAAGCATTTGATTTGTTTCTAAAAAATTTGGTTGGAGGATTACACACAGGTTATTTAAGTATATCAATTTTTTTCATAGTGTAAAAGTTTGAACCTTTCATTGTGTAACACAAATTCAAGAAAAATGTTAAAAAGATTAAGAGAAATGCCAGTTTTAAATCAAAAAAAAATCGTTCTAAAGTTCAGACAACTATTATTTAGTAAGATTAATTTATGAATTGAATATTGACATTTATTCCTCTATTTCTTTCTTCAGTTCATTCAAAATTAAAACGTTTAGATATTGTTCCATTGGTGTGTACAGTCGAACAGATACGGTTATTAAGAGGTTTAGGTGGTAAGTGAATAAATCAGTAGTGAAACCAAATCCTTCAAACTTATCTATTGAACCATTTTCACAGCTCTTCAGCCTGGCGTCAATCGGTGTAAATTATTGGCCAGTAAACACTTTGACATTCTCTACAGGGATTGCACAACAGCAAGGTAAGATTTATGCGGGAAATTTGTTCTTTCCCCTAATTTAATGTTTTACTTCAATAACCGGAGAAACCGTTTAACATCAAGGGTGAATGTTATTGTTTTGACCATTGAAATATTCCCAAAAAGGAAAATCCAAGAGGATTAGAGGATTCGTTTTGATTTTATCAAAAAAATAAAATAAAATAAAATAGAAAATTTGAATTATCTACATAAATTCTTCAAATGTACGATTACAAGACATTTATCAACCCCCAGCAAGTTTTTTAAAGTATTTTGAGGTCAAGGTCACTTGTATAGAATATAGTAAAATATTTTATATATTTTTCTTTACAAATTTTACTAGGTGTTTGTCAGTAAAGCCAAATGAAAGGTAAGCCAAAATATTTTTTGATCATTTTATTTAATGAAAAACATCGATAATATATAAACAGTTCAAGACGAGGACGGCCACCTAAACAAGGTCTTAGCGGTTTATCATCATACGAAGATTTCAACGATGATGATTCAATAAGGCTTAAAAAATATCGAATAGATGAAAAGGATTCTTCTCATGATGACTTAAATGGTGAATATATATAAATGTTTTATAAGAACAGGATGAAAGAAAACTTGAAAAATCTATCTCATCTAACCACAATTAAATCTCAAACATATGTTGATGAATTTTTATGAACCTCTTTATTTATCGATTCATTGCTATCAATGATTCTTTGAAATCAGAGTTGGGCGATCCATTTCCCAGATCCAAACTTTTATTACTATTCCCATGCTAAAAACTAATTTTCTCTCCCCCTAATTCAAAAGCGCCAAACCTGTAAAAAAAATTCTACCCCTCAGCGTGAATTACATTTTGCCACTTCACGCTGAAGGGTAACAAACTTTTGTTTTCTAATTAGATATATAATTTTATTCAAATTTCATCTAGTATTTTTGAGCAAGAAAAAAAATATTGTGATTTTGAATAACGGATTTTTCTTGATATCAAATATCAAATAGGGAAATCAAAATACATAACTGCTGATTATGCACCATCAGCAATGCACATGCAATTTATGCAAATGAATCAGCATCGTTTGGCACAATCAAATGCAATGATGAGCACAGATATGCAGGCGCAACATCTTCATCGAGCAATTGAAGAAAACAATAATAAAAATTCCAACATAGCTAATTTGAATCGAGCAAATCTATGGGAGACATGCAGTGCATCTTATGAGAGCTTTGTGAAGAATCTTGAAAGGTGAAACATGCAAACTAAATAAAAGTCATTTAATTATGAGCATACCTTTGTTTTTCTTTCTCTCATCAAATATTCAGATTAAGGAAGGAAAAAATGGAAGAGAATGAGCATGAGAATGAAAACCAAGTAACATCAGGTAACATGTCACCTTCTAATGAGAGTCCAGTTCTTAACTTATCGAAGAATAAACGTGATTCTTCTATAACACCTGAATTCGAAATAAATGCCGTCTCCCCTGAACCACAAAATGTTGATAACAGTCTTGATGTAGATGACGCTTCAGACATGGAAGTCTCGGAGAGTTCATTACACTCTCGCTCACCACAATCACCACCCAATTTGAATAACAAATTAAATTTTCATCAGCGCGACTTTGCAAGGCCACCACCATCTATCGCCTTTCCATCTACTGAAATTCTTCTGAGAAATATTCAAGAGCTGTTGAAAGTTGTTTTAGAAAACTCAATTCAACATGAACAGCAAATAAGTTTTGAAAAAGGTAATTATATTATAGTCTAACCTTCCATGTATGCTATTTTTGAATATGATGCAACAGTACTGTATTAAATGATATAAAATTTATAAACGCTTTAAATAATATCAGCAATGACAAGTAATATTTTATTAAATTGATTATTTTTGCCTCGATACGTTTTTAAACATCATGTAAAAGATGTTTCGAAATAAGTCTTATGTCGAACGTTTTTTCTTTCTTAATTTCAATTTTGAGCTATTGTAAAAGGGGATTAAATAATATGATTTGCGAAATCATTGGATGAAACAATGCATTGTAAATCCTTTTCCTTTCCGATTTCACCTTGTTTCATCAATCTTTTCTGTTTGAAGAACAATAATTCTTAATCATAACGCCATGAACACAAGTTTAATATAAAATTAATAATACTCGTAAATGTGATTTTTTGAAAAGGAAAATAATTTATGATCTCTTTGACTTTTCTCTATTTTAATTATGAAGCTGAACTTAAAATGAATGCTTTGAGAGAACGTGAAATTAATAGCAACTTAGAACGGAGACTTTCAGAGGAACAAAAATTAAGAGGTGAGATTGAATAATAGAATTATTATGCATACCTGTTTTCCCCAATTCATTAGCAATAATGAATTTTTTTCATGGAAAACAACAGTGTAGGGTTACAAATTTTCAGTTGAACTTGTTGGCAGAATATAATCGATGGACAACGATTTATTCAAAGAAAAAAGATGTTTTTGTTTCTATGCTTTTTTATGTAATATGAGGTGGTCTCACTTCTGACAGAGGTTGACAAGAAAAAAAGATAAATAAAAAATACGATCGTTTTGTTTGTTTTCTTTCATCAGCTTTATACCAGAAGCGGTACAATCGAGATCGCAAATTTCGATTTAAATTGCAGAGACAAATTGAAGAGGAATATGAGAAGCACCAACGATTAGAGGAAATATTGAAAACTTCGGGAACAACCGACAGTCTCAAATGTTTCTCAGGTGATTTTTTTAAAACTGTCATTATAATATATTCGTTTTTCATATTCTAACATTTTCCAGAATTTATGGGAGACAATAAGGTGTTGAACAACACGAGACAGGTCGGTGCAGGCGAACGTAGCGATTGTGAAAGTGAAGATAAAATGTCGAACTCAACAATTTCAACCGATACCAAGGAAAAGGAAATGTCTAGTCCAAAATCAAACTAATGAAAATGATATAAATGTTTTATTTTATAAATAAAAAAAAAAGAAATACTCAAGCTCAACTAATTATATCTAAAAACAAAAAACAAAATGTAAATAAAGGTGAAATACTCGATTTGATGACACATAAATTAAGAAAAGCTTTTCAAATCGATGAAACCAAAATTGTCAAAATATTCTTATTCCATTTCAGATTTGTACGTACATATATCTTCAAAATTTTAAGAGCACTTCACAGGTTTTTCTTATTAGTTTTGCTAACTAGATTTTACAGAAATAACATGAACTTAATATTTATAAAACGAATTCATTTAATGTTCTACACATGAAAGTTAAAAACATGTATCTATATAAATTTAAAAAAAATTAACAACATTTCCCTGAATTAATAAATTCGTGTACAATCTTTACACCCTCATTTCTTTCGACAATTATTCTTTCCCTTTCCGTTATTTTCATTGATGAAACTACATAAAACATCTCCTGCTGTTTGTGATGAAAATGAAGAACAGTTGGAAATCATAAGTTTTTTCTTTCTATAAACATTAAGGCGTAATCTGATATGGTAAAAAATGAAACAGAGCTAATTTTGTTATGATGCAAATGGGTAGCTTTTCACAATAAATCGACTTTGCAGTTATTCTCTAACAATTCTCTTATTATTTCAGAGAACAAGAAAAATTTCTTCAATACCAATTTTGGAAATTGATTTGTCAATAATTTATGAATAGTACTTATGTAATCAACATTCTTTAAATGCAGAAGTGACAAATACACGATATTTTTATTTGAAACAATTCACCAGATGAGCTTTAGATTAAATTCGTGTTGAATTTTGAGTGTACTTGAAAATTCATCATAAAATTGTGAATGCTTATGACTATGTTAAAAAGGTTTTGAGAATCTAAATGAAAAAATAAGTAAGGTTCTAGTAATATTACCTTTTGCCTTTGAAAATAAAATGAAAGAAGATGGAGAAGTGTACATGAAATTTAACTTCAATAATATCTCATCAACTCAAACCTCTACTTTTTTTTTCATTCCACATAACTCTTAATCACGTCTCAATTTGTGAAAAATATTGAGATTGATATTCGATATCGATTACGTGCCTGTATACAGAATGTGATGAGAGATAAAATCACGTATCAACCAGCATAATCAAAAACAAAGACACAAAGGAAAGAAATGTATGCTGAGAAAGTGCTTCCATAAATTCTCAACCATCAACATGAAATTTAATTAAAGGAAGAAGGTTGAAAAGAACAATTATAAAGCACCAAATGAAAACATTAAAATTTCATAATCTTTTCAAAGAAATAAGGGAAAGAGACGCGAAAGTTATATTAACATTCAAATTAGAATAAAAACAATGAAATTATTATACACATCTACCCCCGCGTTAATGTTGTCTTCTCTCAAATATTTAAGAAATTATTTTAATTTTGTCTTTTTCATTATTTTGCTAAGTCTCTAAGGCTTTGTAAGTTCAGTATGTGATGTGCCATAATATTTATATATACTCTGCTGCTTTTAAGCAAGTGTTACATTCACATCAAATGAATAAATATATTTTATGATTGCTAAAGATTAATCCCTAATATGATTCAAACTCATCAATTGAATCGCATTTATGGCAAAACTCGACAAAACATTCATTGGTTTTCATGACTTAAATGGCAATGATTTCCGCATTTACAGTCTCATGACACATCATGAACAACGCTGCTGATCATAAAAATATTTGTCAATTGCAGCTGAAATGATAGTATTTATATATCGCTATTAAAGATTATATCGTAAAGGCGTAATGATATAAGAAATTTTATGTTATACCAAATATAATCAACTGACATTTGTGAGATTGAAGCTTGGTACTAATCAAACTTTTAATCAGTTTTATGAGTTAATGAGATTGTAATTTTTTGAGTTTGTGTTAATCGATGCCAATGTTTCAAAACTTTTCTATTTTTTCAAGGATTTTTAAGAAAAAATTTCTCGGTTCATAAAGCAAACACCTCATTAAATTAAATTACATTTTTCAATTTCTCGACTTCATCACAAGGAAACAAATTTGGATGAATAATTAAATTCTTAATTTACATACTGAGTCATTCATCATCTTGGGTGCAGCCGCCAGCGAATGACAAAAATCCGACTGATGACAATTGTGGCGGAGAGTAAATGAAGGGAGGGAATCAGGCATTTTAACGTATATTATTTATCATCTTTTCGTTACATTTTCAGTTGTTTCGAACAAATAATTTTAATTCGGATAATTTTTCATTTTTTCACTTTTATTTTCAACGATTCACGGATGAAAAGTAAAGATATAGAATCAGAAGTGAAATATGAAATCACAAGTGATGATGTGGTTTCTTTGAAAATTGCATGTATAAGTTTCCCCAGCCAGCAGATCATCATCCCAATAATGTGATATCGTATTTACAATTAGATTCGTGTCTATGCATATATACACAACAGTTTATAAGTGGAGTATATTTAGACCAACATTGGCGTATTTCCTTTCACCCTCGTTCTTTTGAATTTGATGGCACGGATTGTTTTCTTTTTCTTTTTTCGTCATAAAATAAATAAATAATAATGAAATTTGGATTTAAAACATTTAATACAACAGGATTTGACTTCTTTTATTGCCTAAAAAATACTATTTTTAAAATGATAAGGCATGAATTAAATAAAAGGAGATCGATTAGTTTCTACGTTAAAATATTTAAGGTAACAGTGATAACAGAATCTTATTGTACTTAGATCTCATCATTCTCAAATATAATTCTTCTCTTTTACAATACCTTTTTCCCCGACATCATAAAGACCAACGAGGCGTAGATAATTAAATTCCTAGCCTGCGAGCATTCCATTTGAGACGAAAAAGCTACGCTGCTTGATTGTTTATATGTAAATTTCGATATTATGTGAGTACAGCTTTTTCACAACTCTCAGAACATCATTGTTTAGTATAACAGTGATATTGTATCACTGAATGTAAGTATGTAAATTAGATTTTATAAACATTTTTGGAAATTAACAGAACCTAATTAGATTCGAAATTGTTCAAAGGTGATATCAAGTATCAGAGATTTTAACAAAGGGGCAATATTCCTTTCGTTGCTATTTTCAATTATCTAGGTTTGAAAAAGTGATAATTGCTTTAAAAACAAACTCTCTGACTACATTCTCGATTCAATGGAATGGACCAGGAAGAATTTTTTATCTGTGATTTATATAACAAAATATGTATGTGTACAAGTATTTTTATATGCAAATATGCATTTTCATCCCAGAAGACAAATATTTGTAGATTCTTTGTTCTTACATTGTATCTCACAAAGCATTGTGAGTGTTTGTTTCTTAAGTTTTCTGTCGAACTTATTATACATATAAAACATAACATAATTTCGTCAATCTAATTAAGAAAAGATCATTTTCTGTTCTCTCATTTAAGATGTTAAAAAAATAATTTTGAGTCTAACATTCATATTATATTCAGACGATTTCAATTGTTGTATCGCAACTTTTACGAAATTTTTATCTTTGGTTCGTTTAAAAAAAGTCATTATAAGTCAAGACAATGTGCGGGATCTCTTGAAGAATCGAAAGAACACGATTTTCGTTCTCTCCTTTTAACTCGTTTAAGTATAGTCGACACACACGTTAAGATACATTTCACAGATCCAATAAGTGAAAGATGCTGAATAGTGATAAGGTTTTTGGAACAAAAGGAACACGTTAAAATTTCTTGACAATTCAGAAATATTTTTCTTTTTTCTTATTTTTTCTATGCAAACATTTCCAGTTCGATATAGAACAATCCAAGATTCCCAGAGTCTTCTATCAGAAAAAGAACTTGAAATGATGTTAAGAATGAAGACAGTTCGTTAGGAAAAAATTCTATTATACCCTATATCTTTCAACGTTTTGTAATTATTTCTTCTAATAAAAAAAAGTCTTGCTACGGGGATTAAAAATGGGAAGTATTTTTACATAAGTTGGTCTACAAGGAATAATTCAAAATCATGAAAAACCATTTAAATTCGTGTACCAAGTGAATTTTTAAATTTTTATTTCGCGTAAAATAGGTTTTTGTCGTTGTTTAGTAGAAGAAGTATGCTGTTTAATAATAATAAGACTTCCACGTGGCATTTAATTGGCCCAGATTTCGTTGCGTAATGAGTGGTTTGGGAGATCTTTTGGAAAAAATACTGGGGACGATGAAACACAACTTCGACAATTTTAAACTCATTTATAATGCATTTGTAAATATTTTTTTTAAACTTTATCTCAGAACACTAAATTTAAATTTCCACAGCTTGAATTTTTTTTAGATTTCCGAGGGTTCTCTTTTTGTTACAGTCAAAAAAATGGGTTAATTCTAGATATAAAACTGACATCGTCTTTCAATATTGATAAATACTTATGTAGGTACCTATATGGAATGTTAAAATGTTTATACATTTATATTATATAATCTACATATATTTTAGTTACTATAAACTGTTTCTTTGATGTGACTTAGCATGCTAACTTACACCTTTCAGATATTCGACCAATGAGAAAAAATAACATTGCTTAAAACTCTTTCTGTTAACCCTATATTAATTCAAATAAAAGAACTTCCACTTCCACTTTATCCCTATTATTAAAAGGTTCAATTTTTCTTTGAAAAGCATTTTTTTTTGTTCTCGACATAATTTGTAACAACATAGAAGCAAATATAATTTTAATCAATGACCATTTAATTAAAGTCTTTTCATTTAAAGCAAACAATGTTAGTGTTGCTGACCAAGACGAGAGATATAAATTTTCATTCTGAAATGAGAATGTACAAAACGTCCATCTCAAATTGCAAACAATAAATTCATGTTTGGGAAAATAGCCCAGATTTACAACAAAATAAATTCATTGTAACAGTTTATACATGAAGAGTAGATAAAAGCAAAGTCTATCAAAAACAGACGACTTAGCTTTTTCAGAAACTAGCATTTGACTGACTTTGATTATTGACGCCTACAATTTTACAACGACCAGCAGATAGTAAAATTGAAGTCAATAAAACTCACATCTAACGTCGTGTATGCGGTCTTTATTGACATAAAGATTTAATTAGAGAAACGATATTTTATTTCTTGCTGTT